CGAGACTGCGGTTTGTGTTGATGGGGACACGTATGCGCCTCTGGCCACCTTTACCGCTGAGCCGGGCTCTGGTCTCTACCCACTTCACACTGGCCCTTGGCAGCAGCAGCAGCAGCAAACCCCGCAGCAGCAGCAGCAGCAGCTACTGCCCCCCGTCAGGTCCCCCCGTCTCACCAGGTTGCCGCTTCTCACCACGTAGTTGTGTCTGGTCAGGCTCCAGTGTCTGGTCCAATTGTTGCATCTTGCTCCTACCGGTCACTTGCCCATCCCACCGTTCTGTGGCACCACCGGATGGGGCACCCGTCCATTCCTTGGCTGCGCACTATGTCTAGTCAGCGTCTTGTCTTAGGCCGCGAGTCTTGCCGTCCCTGCCGCCTTCACTTGCACCACCTTGCGGTCACTCCTCCTCCCTTCGTCCGGCCACCGAGCCCTTCGAGGCTCTCCACTTGGACGTCTGGGGCCCCGCCCCTCGCCCTAGCCCTGAGCGAGAGAGCTTCTTTTTGGTGGTCATTGACGACTACTCTCGCTACACCACAGTGTTCCCCATGGCACAAAAGTCTGAGGTGACTTCTACGCTGATCAGGTGGTTACTAACACTGCGGACACTCGTGGTCGTCGTGTCAGCTGTCTTCACTCCGACCGTGGGGGTGAGTTTCGGTCCGACATTCTCGCTGGATTCTGTTGCGGGTAGGGCATCTGTCAGTCCTGGACGCTTCCAAAGTCCCCACAGCAAAATGGGGTTGCCGAGCTTTGCATACGCTTGGTCATGGAGATTGCACGCACCTCCATGATCCATGCCCTTGCGCCCCATTTTCTGTGGCCCTACGCGGTTCGGTACGCTGCTCACCAGCTGAACCTCTGGCCACGTGTCACTCGGCCAGAGGCTTCACCGACCAGTCTTTGGACCGGGTGCCCTGGTGCTGCGTCGCGTTTTCGTGTCTGGGGCTGCTTGGCGCTTGTTCGCGACACCTCCGCGGCTAAGCTCTCCCCTCGCGCCCTTCCCTGTGTCTTCCTTGGTTTCCCTGTGGACTCCTCTGACTTCACCTTTTGCCACCCTCCCCTTCACCGGTTCTTTGACTCCCGCGACGTTCGTTTTGTTGAGTCAGTCCTCTACTATACCTGGTACCCCTGTCGAGGTCTTTTGGTTCCTCCTCCCCCTCTTTTCCCGACTCCCGCCCCCCCTCCTACCCCTCCGGTACAGCCCCCCCCTCAGGTGCCGTCCCCTCCCCTACAGTCCTCCTCACTGCCTACTGCAGACCCTGCGGGAGCAGGTGCTCGTGTCGACGACCTTGGGGGTGCTACCTCTGGAGGGGTTGGAGGTGGAGCTGAGAGTGTGCCTCCACGAGGTTCTGGTGCCGGTGGTGCTGGCGTTGGAGCTGAGCCCGAGCCTGCAGGAGGTTCTAGTCTTCAGGGAGCTGGTGTTTGTCGCGATGTTCATAGGGGTGCTACAACTGGGGGTGCGGGTGCCCCTCTACGGGACCGGGAGAGTCTGGGACTGGCCGTGTTGTTGCAGGTGGTGCAGGCTCTGGGGGTGGTGCGACTGGTTCTTTGGAGAGCGGTCCTGGGGCTACCACCGCTCCGGACACTACTCCACCCCCCCACCCCTACCCGACCCGGCGTCAGGCCCATCTTCGCCGTGCCCGTGACGAGCAGTTGGAGTTGGAGCGAGAGGAGAGAGAGTTGGAGCGGCAGTAGCTGCAGCTACAGCGGCTGGAGGAGCAGCAGCAGCAGCAGCCGGAGCAGCAGCAGCAGCAGCAACCGGAGCAGGAGTAGCCGCACCAGCAGGAGCAGTAGCAGCAGCCGCAGCTGGAGGAGCAGCAGCAGCAGCAGCAGCAGCAGCCGCCACCTCCTCCTGTCTCTGGTCTTCGGACCCTCAATCTCCCCTCTCCTTCTCCTCCCTCCTCCCCCTCTCCTCCTGTCTCTGGTCCTCCGCTTCCTCTTCCTGACCCCTCCCCAGCTGTTTCCCCTCCTTCTCTGCCTCCGTTGTCCCCTCCTCTTCCTCACACTTGGCTCTCACGTCGCTCTCCTCGTGCTCGTCCCTCGTCCCCTGTTCCCTTCTCTGACCTTCGTACTACCCTGTTATATTCTAGTCCGCCTCGTTCGTCTCCTTCTGTACTTCCTTCTCCTCCTGAGTCAGCTCTCACTGCTTCCCTCTCTACTCCTGTCACTGACTACTACCGCACGTACTGTCCTGTTCTCTCTCATGTTCTCGCCTCTCTTATTACCGACCCATGTGCTTCTATGTCCTCTGTCTCCGCTCTTACTGCCGCACTCACTGAGTTTGCCTCTACTCGCCGCCTTGACTACGCCACCAGTCTTATGGTTGCTCTTCCTACCAGTCCTCTAGCCGTCGGGGGTGAGTCTGCCCTGGCTGTGACGCCCTAGAGGACAGGCAGTTTGAGCTAGAGTTCCTGGCAGCCGCTTCCCCTCATCTATATGCCATGCTGCTCGCCCCTGAGGGAGACCCCGACGCCCTTGACATACCGACTCCTCGCACTTACGCTGAGGCAGTGTAAGGGTATTGGGCCTCTCAATGGAGAGCTGCCATGGACTCAGAGATGACCTCCTACAGATCTACAGGCACTTACGTCGATGAGGTTCCCCCCCCCTGGGGCGAACGTAGTTGATGGCATGTGGATCTTCACGGTGAAGCGGCCACCGGGATCTCCTCCGGTCTTCAAGGCGCGCTATGTGGCTTGAGGTTTCAGTCAGCGCGAGGGAATTGACTTCTTTCAGACCTTCGCGCCTACCCTGAAGATGACCACTCTTCGGGTGTTACAACGCCTAGTAGCACAGAGGGACTACGAGTGACACTCTTTCGACTTCTCTGCTGCTTTCCTTCAGGGTAGCCTACACGAGGAAGTCTGGCTGCGTCGTCCCTCTGCCTTCACTAGCACTTTCCCTTCTGGGACCTAGTGGAGGCTGAGGCGACCGGTCTACGGTCTCCGTGAGGCTCCTCGTGAGTGGCACAACACCCTTCGTTCTACCCTGTCTGACCTCGGTTTCCAGCCGTCTTCTGCTGACCCATCGCTGTTTGTTCGTCGTGGCTCCGCACCGTTCTTTGTACTGGTCTACGTCGATGACCTGGTTTTTGCCACTGCTGACAGGGTTGCTTTGGCTGACGTGAAGCGCGAACTGCAGAAGAGACACACGTGCACTGACCTTGGTGAGCTGCGCCACTACCTTGGCCTGCAGATCACCAGGGACAGAGCCGCTCGCACCATTACACTCTCACAGTCACACATGGTACAGCAGGTCCTTCAGCGGTTCAAGCTTCAGCACTCCACAGTAAGCGCACACCTCTTGCTGTTGACCACAGACTTGTACTCGTTCGGACCTCGCCTTCCCTCTCAGCATCCTTGCTCGCTTTGTTGCGCTAGGGAGACACCGTCCAGTTCACTCGACAACTGCTGTGAGGGTGGCGAAGTACCTAGCGACGACATCAGGCGTGGGGCTGGTTCCTGGAGGGCAGCAGTCTGTTGTACTTACTGGACACTGTGACTCTTCTTACGCTGACGACGCCGAGACTCACAGGTCTACTCACGGGTACTGCTTCAGCCTGAGCTCTGGAGCTGTTTCGTGGAGGTCCACGCGTTCCTCTTCGGTCTCGACCTCTACCGCTGAGGCTGAGGTCTACGCTGAAGCCATGGCTGCACAGGAGCTGCGTTGGTTGACCTTCTTGCTCACCGACCTTGGTGAGCGGCCGAGCTCTGCACCGACCTTGTTCACTGACAACAAGGCGTCGATTCTCTTCTGTCGAGAGCCGCGACTGGAGAGAAGAGTGAAGCACATTAACGTCAGGTACTTTCTTCTGCGAGAGTTGCAGAGGCGTGGACAGGCTCGCTTCGACTTTGTCGAGTCCGAGGCCAACACTGCAGACATCTTCACGAAGGCCCTACCGCCTTGTGATTACCATAGGTGTTGTGTGCAGTTAGGTCTCGTTGACATAGGTTCTCGCCTTGCATAGTCTTGTGTTTCTCCTTGCTTTGTTTGTACACTTTACATATACCCCTGTGAACTCTTGAACTAGGCTGTGGCTCTTTTGCTTGTGCTCGGAGTGTGTGGTGATGTTGTGATCCACCCTGAGCTTTGTTTCTTTGCGACTGGTCTTGTGACCGTACACTTTTGGTTTTCCTTGACACCCCTCACTTAGACTATGGGGGTGTGTCAAATGTTGTAGTCTTAGTGATGTGTGTTATAGGGGGTACAACTGTTAGGGTTAGGTTTATGTACCCCAACCAACCTTAGTCAAACCAACACTTTCATTCTTGACATAGCCTACAAAACTCACTCGAATTCCCCTGTGGTGATTCATGATATCAGCCATGCTTGGGAATGACAAATTTTCCCTCTCACAAACGAATTTCAGGGCCTGCTTTTCAGGCAGACCTCTCGATATCAGGGTGATTCAGCCTTATGACCCTTACTATAAGGCTGGGTTTGACTATGCACCCTTATTTACAAGACTGGTTTTGTTTTAGACCCTTACAAAAAAGAGTGATCGATTATACGACACTGATATTTCAGAGCTATGTGGTGTAGTAGCACTGATGAAACCGAGTTCGATCTAAGATAGGATACGAGGATTGGTCGCGTAAAACATATTTTCCGCGTTAGGTGCTCGCGCCGGGTATCGGGTCCTTCACTCACACAACTATGATAGCTCAACACACAACACAACTATGATAGCTCAACACACTGCAATACCAACATCCTACGTAGATTAGAGACTCAAAGTACAGTTCAAATATATTTTTGATTTGTTTGCACCCTGATTTTTAAGAGCAGTTTTTGTGAAGCACCCTTACTGAAAGAGTGAAAGCTGGGTGTTTGCGTTACGAGAAAGAGTACCCGAAATCCTATCCGGAGGCCTGTCTTCAGGTTATTCTTTCGAACAAACACAGCACGTTGCCTTGCCTCAGCTGACCACATTCGAACCTATCTGAATAATGAAATAATACTACTTACATAGGCCAAAAGAGAACACTAATAGAATCCCCTTATTGTTCAGCAATAGTAGCATCCTCGTCTCTAAATTTCTGCGCTATCGTGGAAAGGGTCTCCCTCACATGAGTCAAGTTCGCCTTTAAAGACGAATAGCACGTGCCATCACCGAAGGAGAGGTGGTAACGCACAGAGCAAGCATGTGCAAGGTTGTTGTAACAGGCATTGTAACACTTGCGCGGGCGGATCTCATAGATGGAGGCGTTGGCGGGCATGAAGATGACATTGGCGAAGGCGGCCCCGTGGCCCGACACAAACAGGCGCGCACGGCGGAAGAGAGCCCGCGCTGGTATGGGAAAGAGTAGTGTGGGACACAATTGGGGTAGCATGGAGAGAGGAGCGCATTGAGAAGAGCACGCATCAGGGGTGCATGGGGTGTTGAGTGAAATGGGTTGGGGCAGAAGGGGGCTGGCGGGCATGAAGATGACATTGGCGAAGTCGTCTCTGTGGCCCGACACAAACAGGCACGCCCGGCGAAAGAGAGCCCGGGCTGGTGGGGGAGAGAATGGGGCGGATTTGGGGGACTTCTGAGGCGCCTCGAAAGGCGAAGGCTGCCCACATGCCTCATGCCTCAAGTGCCCACATGCCTCACATGCCCACATACCCGCATGCCCACACACCCAAATGCCCACATGCCTACACACCCACATGCCCGCATAACCGCATGGCGGCATGCTCACATGCAATCACATCCCCATGCTCACATGCCCACATAAACATCCCTATTACCCTGCCCACATACACATGCCCATCCCCATCACCCCCACACGGCCATCACATCACCTTCCATGATGCGCAGGTCTCCTTGGAACACCACAATGCGCTCGCTCCCAAAGCTCTCAAAGCTCTCGTACACCGCGTCCCGCAGCCCGTCCCAGTTCACCAGCGCGCGCTTCGCCATTGGCCGCTTGCCCAGCACCACCACCCAGTTGGGCGGCAGCGCCGCCATGTCCTGGTCGGCGAGCGGCGGCACGGAGCGCAGCGTCCAGTCGCGGTGGAAGAGCGGCAGCCCGCCGGGCGGCAGCAGGTGGTGGCGGCGCAGGTGCGTCCAAAGGGCCTTGTTGGGGCCGCCACACGTCTGCGCCATGGGCTGGTTGATGGGAAGAAGGGGGGGTGGGTGGGGGGAAAAAGAGGGAGAATGTATTGGAGAGGGGGTAAGGACAGGTAGGATGGGTGAGATGGCAAGTAGAAGGGTGTAATCTGGCACATGAGATCACCTGGTACATGGCATCACCTGGTACATGACATCACCTGGTACATGGCATCACCTGGTATATGGCATCACCTGGTACATGGCATCACCTGGTACATGGCATCACCTGGTACATGGCATCACCTGGTACATGACACCATGGATAACATCATGGCATCCTAGCATCACCTGGTACATGGTGTGGGCATGTACGATCTCCCATGCACGCACTCGGATGGTCCACATGTCCTCACGAGGCACGCCCACTATGGGCAGCCCTATCTGGTCGTACACCTCCCACTGGCAGATGGGGTGGGGAAGAAGTGGAAGAGGGCAAGAGGGGGAACGGGAAGGAAGAGAGAGAGATAGGGCGGAGCAATGGGCATATAGCAGCGTCTGTTTACAGCGTTCCCACTATGGGCAGCCCCATCTGGTCGTACACCACTGGGAGAAGGGGTGGGGGGGGAGGGAGGGGACGGGGAGGGAAGAGAGGGCGGTGCGATGGGCATATAGCCTTGAGCTTGTCATAAATATCCCACTGGGTGGATGCGGGGAAGGAGGCCAGGGGAGGAGGGGGAGGGTTGAAAGGGGGGAAGGGAGAGAAGGCGGAGGGCAGAAACATAAGAAGAAGAGAAGAGAAGAAGAAAAAGGCGGTGCGGTGACAACAGCGCGCCTTATCACCTGGTCGCCGTTGGCTCACCTGGTCGCCCTTGGCTCACCTGGTCGCCCTTGGCTCACCTGGTCGCCGTTGGCTCACCTGGTCGCCCTTGGCTCACCTGGTCGCCCTTGGCTCACCTGGTCGCCCTTGGCTCACCTGGTCGCCCTTGGCTCACCTGGTCGCCCTTGCCTCACCTGGTCGCCCTTGGCAGCAATGGGTACGTCAGGCAGCAGCGAGGGCAGCAGGCGCCCGGCGGCATAGAGCAGCGGCACGGCCTCGATGATGAAGTGGTAGAAGTTGCCCGCCTGGCGGTAGTCCCAGTTGACCACCGAGGGAAGGTGATACACCGTCATGTTGGGGGTGAGTGTTGCCTGTGTGTGACGGGAGTGGGGTGGGCAAGGGCACATAGACATGTAAGGCAGCGGGACGGCTTCGATGATGAAGTGGTAGAAGTTGCCCGCCTGGCGGTAGTCCCAGTTGAACACGGAAGGCAGGCGGTACAGCGTCATGTTCGGGGTGAGCGTTGCCTGGGGGGGGAGTGGGGTGGGCAAAGGCACATTGGGATGTAAGGAAGCACGCCCTTTATTGCTGGCCCATAGGAGTTTCGTGCAGGCTGGGGTGGTAAAGGTGGTCTGGGAGGGAGAGTCAGGAGGGGACAGGATTTTCGTGATAAGAGATTTTTTTGTCTATAACAAGAAGATGGAGGTGTCAAGAGGAGACGAGGGAAGGCTGCCGGGCAGGTCTGTTTGCAGCCTTGTTCGGATGCCGCACGCTTGGGGGTGGGAGAAGCAACGTCGAGGTGTGGGGCGGGGGAATTTGAGGGAAGGATGGAGTGAGAGGGGTTCAACGGAGGTCGAGTTGCCTGGCTGGTGGCTTCCTCACTGAGCATTGCCTGGGAAGCACATGGAGCACTAGAGGTGCACGAATGATGGTACAGCCGGCATGGAACAATCAAGGAAGCAACAAGGCAAGCATGCACACAACACAACACAGCGTAGCACGGCACCTTGAGGAAGCGCTTGCACCTTGAGGAAGCGCTTGCAGCCGTTGCGGTTGAAGCGATGCGTCAAGTTGAACACGTATCCGCCGAACGCCGAGTACACATCCTTCATCTTGAACACCTGCATGGCCACATGGCATGGCATCACTCAGTCATTATTCTCAGAGAGCAGCAGCAGTCGTGTAGTTTCGGCTTTAGCAGAAGAACAACAGCGGATTTTGAGTCGACTAAAAAATCCCCCAAACGCGGAGTACAAAACACACCCTCATCTTGAACACAACACACCTGCATGGCTGTAGCATCCCGCGCATTCACGTCCACGCGGTGCGAGCACTGCGAGTCAATGAAGTACCACGGCCGCCGCAGCCGCCCCACATCCTCCACGGGCTGAAGCCGCGGGCAGTTGAGTGGGTCCGCAGGGAACAGCGGGCGCGGATCTGTCAGGTGCTCGTTCCAGCAGGCTTGTACGTGGGGAAAGGCGGATCCGCAGTGGCCGAACTTGGGGCAGGGCGGGCCGCGGCACCGCAGGCGCGGGCCGAGGTGGGGTTGGAGCTCGTAGTAGTCGAGCATTATGGAGGGCAGGGCGGCCGTGTGGAGGGTGCGGTTGAACGGCGCTGCTGATTTTCTTAGTAAGTCCCTCCGCTCCATGTGGCTGGGGGCGAGGGATGGCAAGGGAGGCAAGGCAGGGGAGGGGACGGGATGGGAGGGAATGAGAGGGCAGCGCAGGGTAGGAGAGAGGGGGACAGGGAAGGAATGGGAAGGTGAGGGGAAGGGAGGGAAGGGAGGGCAGGGGAGGGAAGGGAGGGCAGGGGAGGGAAGGGCAGGCGAGGGGAGCAGAAAAGAAGGGCGGGTAGAGGATTTGGGGCATGTATGAGCCTGACTCTGCTTCCTCCTCACCCATAGCCACAGTGCAGGACGGAGGGATGGAAGGATGCGACAATGAAGGGGCAAGGGGCAGAACGAATCAGAGAGGATAGCAGTAGTTTTTGGTGCGAGACAATAACAAAGAAACTGGCAAACCGGCCAGGGAACAGAGATGGGAGGCAGATATATGCACATGTGTAATGCTCCCAGAAGAATGGAAAGGAGCAGGGGTAGGGTTGGAGGAGGAATGAAGAGGTTCGCAGGGAATAGAAAGGGAAGAGGAGGGGTACGAGAGAGATAAAGACAGAAGCGAGAGGGATGCGTGGCGAAAGAGAGAGAGAGAGAGAGCACAGCTGATCGGCGAGCGATCGCTCGAACTGCTGCACGCGACCCAACAGGGCCTCCTGCCGCCCCTTGCCCTCCTCCTGAGCGTCCTGTCCCTGCTGACCCTCCTCTGCATGTGGCACAGGCGGGCGATACGATGGCAGGCACGAGGAGGAGCACGGATGGGATGGGATGGGACGCATAGAGGGGATGTGGACAACAGGTGCAGAGATGGGCGGCAGAGTGAGTGATCATGGTGATGCATGACACAGTGATCCACACATAAAATCAAGATCCACATCGCGCTACAGTAACTGCGTTACAGTCACACACACCAATCGTGCTACAGGCACACACACCTCGAGCCACGGCATGCCGCAAGGAGAGGAACGCGAGAAGGAGCACTCCGAGCAGCAGACGTTGGTCACAGCGATGCTGATTGTGATTGTGACTGTAACCAGAGTGACTGTATCCTCTTGGGCTGTGGCTGCGAGCGCGGCAGGTGCGGCGGGAGAGCGGGCGCTCGTAACTGTCTGGAGAGCAGCGGGGATGATGGAGAGGAGGAGAGCAATTAGAGTGCGGTAGAGTGCGGTGGAGCATGGAGCGAGGGTAGGGGAGAATGCACTGGGTAGGACGGCTTGGGATTTCGGTGACTCCCGTCAGTGCAGCCCACGTGGCACTACCGTCGTCGTACTACTGTCGCCCCGTCGTCGTACTACCGTCGCACCGTCGTCGCACTATCGTCGCACCGTCGTTGCGCTGCCGTCGCACCGCCGTCGTCGCACTCGTACCGTCGTCACACTACCGTCGCACAGTCGTCGCGCTGCGGTCGTACCGTCGTCGCGGACACGTCAGCGGTTGAGATCTCGTAGCGTCGGCCGTGCGGCGGAATGACGAGGCGCGATCCAGTCTGCGACGCTACATACGAGTCCCAATTGGCCATCCGCCTCCTTCTACAATCTAGACCGTCGGATCGCCTCACAAGTACTTACCCCATCTCCTCAGGACTCGATCTAGACGCTTGCAACGCGTCATGTTATCACGCTGTAACATGCCACCATCTCGCTACGGCGTCGCGAATGACGTGCGAACAGGTAGAAGGCGAGGGGAGAGAGAGTGGACGGACACGGGGGAAGGAACGATGCGCGACGCGAGTGAGGCGAGCGAGCCACTGATCGAGGAAGGAACGACGCGCGACGCGAGCAATGCCGCACGAGAGCAATGCTTGATCTAGGTGGTTGGTTATATGAAGAAATGCCTGATTAGAACTGCCAGCTATATGCCGAGGCCATGTCTGATTCGCGAGGGTGTCAGTGACTTTCGTCACGGGCGTTGGCTCCTCCCGAGCTTGTGATGCCAGATCTGTACCTCCCTGCTCCTTGATTGGAAGACCTGCGAGTAATTTGTCGAATGTGCCAGATGTTTTGCGACATTTCTCCCGAATTCGCGAACGGATTTTCCGAGGTGTTCGCTAGGGTACATTGTGGTAACTCCGAGTGAAAATGCCGGGATGAGTCGAGCTTCCCGTTGCAGCTATGTCATGGCGGGGTCGCCACAGCGGCATCGCCTCGCCGTCCTCCTCGCCGGGCTCGCGCTCCGCGTGTTCTCTCCGACGGCCGCGGCTGCTACGGGTCTCCACCCCTCGCAAGGTCCGTCGCGCTAGAATGACCTGCGCTGCGCACAGCTGTGCGTGCCAAGGGCGTAGTACTACTAGTGGATGCTCACCTTTCCTTTCCGCTGCATCCTGAGGCTGTGGCTCGGAGCGTCCGAGTCGGCCCGGCGCTATCCTGCGCGTGGCACCACAGTCCGGCGCGCCACTGTCCAGCGCTCCACGCCTGTTCCTAGAGTTTGACAGATGAAGACTAGCCAATCATTGTCAGTGTCCTGTCTGGTCACTCTCCCCGACGCGGGCTGCTTGCCTTTAGTCCTCCCACCAGCCGCAATGACTGGCATGTTTCGCGGCACGCCTCCGCAGCCCGTTTCCCTCTCCTTCCCAGCTGCATCGTTCGTTTGGGTTTGCGCTTTCCGCCTTCTCCCCCGTCCAACACGCACCTGCCCCACGCCTGCTTTTTGCTCCGACCTTCCTCGGGCGCTGGTTCCCCCTCCGCCATGTTTCCCCAGTCCCCATCCGCATGCCCTTCCCTTCTCCGCATGTTTCCCCTTTTCCCATCCGTATCCTTCCCCAACCCCACGCACATGCCCTCCTCTCCCCTTCCACGGCTGTCCCCGCAGCCGCGGTGCTGGCGGAGTGTCAGGGGCAGTGGCGGTCGCAGCTGCGCGGATGGAGCAAGGGGGGGGACTGCGCGCAGGTGGAGGGCGTGCAATGCAATGCAGCTGGCTTCATCGTCTCCCTGTGCGTGCTGCATGCCGCCTATACTGGGTTCACTTAGGAGGGAGGGGGCAGCGGGGGGAGACGGGGTGCATGGCGTGCGCTGCAATGCAGCTGGCTTCATTGTTTCCATGTGCGTCCGTCCTGCATTCCCAATCACCATGGCCCCCACTTGGCCCTTCCGCTTCCCTCCCTCCCCCACCTGCCTACCACTTCCCCTTCTTCCCTTTAGATTGTTGGGAGATTTGTTTTATCTTCGATTGGCCCTGGAACAAGCATCTTGAAAAGTGGTGACTGTCCGCATGATTGCTTGCTGTCCGCATGCGCGCTTGCTGTCCGCATGCGTGCTTGCTGTCCGCATGCGTGCTTGCTGTCCGCATGCGTGCTTGCTGTCCGCATGCGTGCTTGCTGTCCCCATGTGTGCTTGCTGTCCCCATGTGTGCTTGCTGTCCCCATGTGTGCTTGCTGTCCCCATGCGTGCTTGCTGTCCCCATGTGTGCTTGCTCGCCCCATGGCACAAACCCATGCAATGCCCCTCGCTGCGCGCGCCATACCATTGACTCTCTGTTCGTCCATTCATGCCACGTACCCTCTTTTCCATCGCACCATGCCCCCTCCCCCTCGTGCCGTGCCCTCATTCCCCCCCCTCATGCCATGCCATGCACCAGGAATGTGACTGGGCGGAACTTAACAGGCCCCATTCCCCATTCCCTGTGGAACCTCACAACCCTTAGCCAACTGTATGCTGGGAATATCATGCCATGTAATGCCATGCTGATGCTGTGCCATCATCCCTTTGCTATCCCATTGCTTGCCACTGCCACTGCGAATGCCTTGGTCCATGGCCATCATTTCAATTGCTTGTGCGTTTGCTGCATGGTCCACCCAGCCACTAGGAGCTCACTGCAGCTCTCCGCAGCTCACTGCAGCTCACTGCAGCTCTCCGCAGCTCATTGCAGCTCACTGCAGCTCGCGCTGCACTGCAGCCGAGCAAATGTGCCCCACCTCAACTGCCTTGCGTGACGTTTCCCCCTTTTGCCCACCATCCCTCCCTCCCTCCCTCCCTCCCTCCCCTTCCTGATATGCGCGCTTATCAGGGATCTGACTAACAATTGGCTGTCAGGCTCCATCCCAGCAGCCATTGCTGGCATTGCTGCACTCAGGATCCTGTCAGCAGCCCTTATCCCCTCCCCCCCCCCCCCCCCCCCCCCCCATGCTATGTCATGTTTTCTTCCATTCCGCATTCGCTGTGCCACTATGCCATGATGTGCGATGTCGAGTGGTCATGCGTATCGTATTCTTCTCTACCCTTCTGTTTAGCTCATTCGCACTGACGTTTTTCTGTGTGATTTTTGGGAACAGAGTGCATAAGGCAAGCCTGGGGCCTAAACAGTTGTTGTTGTTGTTGTTGTTTTTTTTTTTTGGGTTTGTTTTTTTTTTGTGATTTCGTTACATATTTCGTGTTCGCAGGAAGCACGCATCTTACTGTCTGGCAAGGCTATATCACGTATGCATGCCAATTATATATACTGTACCATACCAGGCGCTTATATTCCAACAATCTGGATGGGGAAATTCCAAGAGCAATTGCGCGGCTCACTGGCTTGGAAGAATTGTACAAAGCATTGCTCCTCCCTGTTTGCGGTTCCCTACCCATTCATTTTCCATTCTCTCGTCGCTTGCCCACTTTCCTGTGTTCCATTTCGGAAGCTCCATCCATCCTTTACCCCTCGCTGTGTCATGTTATCCATTTCCTAGGCTTTTCTGTGCTCAACCATATCGTCTTGTTGTGACATACCATGGTGCCACTTAACCCTTCAAAATGCAGTGCCTTTCTGAATCTATTCCACTTGCGTACCACCATGCCGTGGCATCATCACATGCGATGGCGTCATCCCATGCCATGCTTTGTAGTGGTGTCATCACATGCCATGCCTTGTGATGATGTCATACCATGCCATGGCAGGAGCCTGGGCCTCAACTTCCACCTCACTGGGTCCATTCCCCAGGAGATGGAGCGCCTCACAAACCTCGGATACATGTGGCTGGCCCACTGCTCCCCCGCACACCCCATTCACTGGCCCACTGCTCCCCCGCACACCCCATTCACTGGCCCACTGCTCCCCCGCACACCCCATTCACTGGCCCACTGCTCCCCCGCACACCCCATTCACTGGCCCACTGCTCCCCCGCACACCCCATTCACTGGCCCACTGCTCCCCCGCACACCCCATTCACTGGCCCACTGCTCCCCCGCACACCCCATTCACTGGCCCACTGCTCCCCCGCACACCCCATTCACTGGCCCACTGCTCCCTCGCACACCCCATTCACTGGCCCACTGCTCCCCCGCACACCCCATTCACTGGCCCACTGCTCCCTCGCACACCCCATTCACTGGCCCACTGCTCCCCCGCACACCCCATTCACTGGTCCACTGCTCCCCCGCACACCCCATTCACTGGCCCACTTCTCCCCCGCACACCCCATTCACTGGCCCACTGCTCCCCCGCACACCCCATTCACTGGCCCACTGCTCCCCCGCGCACCCCATTCACTGGCCCACTGCTCCCCCGCACACCCCATTCACTGGCCCACTGCTCCCCCGCACACCCCATTCACTGGCCCACTGCTCCCCCGCACACCCCATTCACTGGCCCACTGCTCCCCCGCACACCCCATTCACTGGCCCACTGCTCCCCCGCACACCCCATTCACTGGCCCACTGCTCCCCCGCACACCCCATTCACCATGCCACTGCTTTTTACACCATACCTTTACCGATATCTGTTTGTCATCAATATGTTTTTTGAATATATTTGTCTGTTTTCGCGTGAATTCTAGTGTGCGCACACATGTTTGTACATTTACGTATGAGTGCATGTATGTGTGTATGTGTGTGTGTGTGTGTGTGTGTGTGCGCGCGCGCGCGCGTGCGTGCGTGCGTGCGTGCATGCGTGGGTGCATGCGTGTGTGCGTGGTTGCATGTGTGGGTGCGTGCGTGCGTGCTCGCACTCGCGAGCGTATATGTCATGCATGTGTGTGTGCGTGTGTGAGTATGCACTTGCGTGTGTATGGTGTGTGCAGAAGCATCTTCATGATGGATTTAGAGGGCCCATTTCCCTCCTGGATATCTGGTCGCACCAAGCTCACCCACCTGTGCGTTCACTCTGATTCAGCGGGCCGAGGAAGAGAGCCTGTCGTGCTGGAGGCTGCGCTTGTGAGGGTAGCTCTTTGATACACGTGCAATCCAGACAGATACACATGCACACACCCGTCACACGCGCACACATCACGAACCCTCTTTCTGGTTCTCACAGCTCGCTCAGCGTGTGTGCTGTGTTGTGTTGCAGAAACATTGCTCAGAACAGCATCACTGGGAGCATACCAGAGTCCATCGGCAGCACCATCAACCTTAAAATCTTGTAACCATCAACGTCTTGTAACCATCAACGTCTTGTAACCCTCAACGTCTTGTAACCCTCAACGTCTTGTAACCAACGTCTTGTAACCCTCAACGTCTTGTAACCCTCAACGTCTTGTAACCTTCAACGTCTTGTAACCCTCAACGTCTTGTAACCCTCAACGTCTTGTAACCCTCAACGTCTTGTCAACCTTCCATTCATACCCTGAGCCTGCCGCCTCATGCCCATCACATGTGCGCATGCCCATCACATGTGCGCATGCCCATCACATGTGCGCATGCCCATCACATGTGCGCATGCCCATCACATGTGCGCATGCCCATCACATGTGCGCATGCCCATCACATGTGCGCATGCCCATCACATGTGCGCATGCCCATCACATGTGCGCATGCCCATCACATGTGCGCATGCCCATCACATGTGCGCATGCCCATCAAATGTGCGCATGCCCATCACATGTGCGCATGCCCATCACATGTGCGCATGCCCATCACATGTGCGCATGCCCATCACATGTGCGCATGCCCATCACATGTGCGCATGCCCATCACATGTGCGCATGCCCATCACATGTGCGCATGCCCATCACATGTGCGCATGCCTGTCACATGTGCACATGCCCATCACATGTGCGCATGCCCATCACATGTGCACATGCCTGTCACATGTGCACATGCCCATCACATGTGCGCTTGCCTGTCACATGTGCACATGCCCATTACATGTGCGCATGCCCATCACATGTGCGCATGCCCATCACATGTGCACATGCCCATCACATGTGCACATGCCCATCACATGTGCGCATGCCCATCACATGTGCGCATGCCTGTCACATGTGCACATGCCCATCACATGTGCGCATGCCTGTCACATGTGCGCATGCCCATCACATGTGCACATGCCCATCACATGTGCGCATGCCCATCACCTGTGCGCATGCCCATCACATGTGCACATGCCCATCACATGTGCACATGCCAATTACATGTGCACATGCCCATCACATGTGCGCATGCCCATCACATGTGCGCATGCCCATCACATGTGCGCATGCCCATCACATGTGCGCATGCCCATCACATGTGCGCATGCCCATCACATGTGCGCATGCCCATCACATGTGCGCATGCCCATCACATGTGCACATGCCCATCACATGTGCGCATGCCCATCACATGTGCGCATGCCCATCACATGTGCGCATGCCCATCACATGTGCGCATGCCCATCACATGTGCGCATGCCCATCACATGTGCGCATGCCCATCACATGTGCGCATGCCCATCACATGTGCGCATGCCCATCACATGTGCGCATGCCCATCACATGTGCGCATGCCCATCACATGTGCACATGCCTGTCACATGTGCACATGCCCATCACATGTGCGCATGCCCATCACATGTGCGCATGCCCATCACATGTGCACATGCCTGTCACATGTGCACATGCCCATCACATGTGCACATGCCCATCACATGTGCGCATGCCCATCACCTGTGCGCATGCCCATCACATGTGCGCATGCCCATCACATGTGCGCATGCCTGTCACATGTGCACATGCCCGCCCATCACATGTGCACATGCCCATCACATGTGCGCATGCCCATCACATGTGCGCATGCCCATCACATGTGCGCATGCCCATCACATGTGCGCATGCCCATCACATGTGCGCATGCCCATCACATGTGCGCATGCCCATCACCTGTGCGCATGCCCATCACCTTGTGCAACACACAGCTCTGTGTGGTACAACAGCCTCTCAGGCACCATTTCCGAGTCCATTGGCTGCCTTACCAAGCTCAGCGAGCTGTGAGATTCAGATTATCGCACTATATATGGTGAGACATCTCAAAACTCTCTCTCTGTGAGTTGTGATTTTCAAATATCACACTAAACTGATGTCTTTAAGAATAAGTATGTTATGAACTTGTCTAAATTTCCTCTACTCTTCTTGTGGAAGGACCCATCCTTACATAGTGTGGTGGTGGATTGGCTTTGGTGACGAATCTGCAGGGGCTTGCCGGAGAACCAGCAAGTGGGAAGCATCCCGGGGGGCATTGGCAACATGAAGTACATCACCTCCTTGTGAGATCGCTCAGCCCACTGCTTGCTTTGTTTGTGCAAACAAGTACGCCCAAAAAAACAAGTAAGCCCAAAATAGGCAAGAGCATATCATCAGAATCCAAAAACCCCGTTGGGGCTAGACTACAGGCAAATCGGGAGGTGTTGTTGGTTGAGAGAGTTTGGGCTGTTGGAGGAGAGCATTCAAGAGAATAAGGGAGTTGGGTTGGTCGAATGGCAGCACTCGTTGTAAGGGCATGTCACATGAGTTACTTGCATTCGTTTCAGCCTCTGTAATTCGATTATGGGCTGTAAGGGCGTATTCTTGGCTTTGGGACTTCCCGTCTTTGGGACTTCCGAACTTGTTGGACCACTGAAAATATTTACTGTTCCTTTTGTCAATGACCTCATTTGCCCCGCAAGAAGAGAGTCGGATGTCCCAAAGTGCGGATGTCCCAAAGCCAGGAATACGCCCTAACCATGGGAACTACGCAATTGCGAAAATACGCTATACACTGCAATTTGGGATGCCGAGTTTGGAACGTCTCAAGGTGCATATTTGATCTCTTTGCCAGCTAGACCTGCTTGGCTTGTCCGATTTCGTTCCCTTCCATGTGGCTCCGTGACATGCGGTGTCGCCAGTGCCTGCGTGCCTGCCATGAACTCGCAGGGACCTTGCAGACAACCGGTTAATAGGCACAATTCCCAACAGCCTTTCTCGCCTCACTGACCTCAGATTCTTGTGAGATGCAAGGCACCAACCGCGTTAGGAGCTCGGTGCTGTTGGGGCATGTATGACATCTTGAAAGAGTGATAGGAAATGGAGAAAGAGAGAAATAGGAGGCACCAACAAGGCTCAGACAGGGAAAGGTATCATTGGTGGCTCTTAATTGTATTCTTTCTTGTGTACATTGATTGGCTTTCATGTTGACTCGCCCTGCATCATTGATTGACATAGTAATCTGTTGTCAAGTAAGGCGATGGTCTGTTGAATGTTCAATCTGGGGACTCTATTCACACCTCAGACGTCTTAACAACAACAGACTGAAGGGGACATTTCCGGCTTGGGTCTTAGGGATGTCCAAAATCAATGAGCTGTGAGTATTCATGTATTGCATGTGTGTCGAATACACTTGTGTCCTTTGTGTCCTTAACAGTATGAGATAAAACATACCTGTCTTCTATCCGGGCGATGACGGTAGGTGGCGCGGCAGTAGTCTCCCTTCAGCAACAGAATAGGTGCAGTGCAGGTGGTAGTGGAGCTCTGAAGGTCTGGGACAGGGTCAAGGTATTGGGTAGTGATGACTGGAACCGTAGTCTAACGTTTCAATCAACATAAAAGCCACTTCTTTTTTGCGAATTCATTGATATATATTTTCCTTAGGGCCGCTACCTGCTGATCTTGGTAATTGGACAGCCCGAGCAAGAACCGACCCGATGTGAATTTCGGGTCGGGTCGGGTCGGGTTTCGGGCCGACTGTGACTTGACCCAGAAATCGGGTCAAAAACAGGGTAACCGGGTCGGGCTTTGACCCGATCCGATTTCGACACTAGAGAAAACCCTTAAGTCGATGTCGAGGGAACATTTTTCCCCACGACATCATTCCCGCAACCTACCTAACTTCACTTCGACATCCTAGGGTTGGACTGAGCTCAGTGTCGAGAGTTTGTGAAATTGCATAAGTGGCGGCGAATTGGTTGGGGAGGAGGGGGTTCCTGGTTTCCTCACAGCGAAATTAGGTTGACCAACGAAATCACCGATTTGCGCGGATCAGCGGATGAAAGCGGGTTTCCCTGACCCGACCCTAGGTCGGGTCGGGGAAAACCCGACCCTGTCCCCCCGGGTCGGGTCAGAGACTTCACCTGCTTGGCCCGGGTCTGGCTCGACCCGACCCGACCCGGGAACCCGGCTGGCCCAGCCAAGTCGGGTCGGGTCGGGTCCGGCCGCCTGCTCATGCCTACAGCAAGAGGAGGAAAACAGTGAGTTTGGTTATCCTTTCACAATGGCTCTGATTCGACCCAAACTAGTTCCTGGTGTTCTAATCTGACTGCACATTCATTGCATCGCAGGAGCTTCGGTGAGAACCAGTTCACGGGGCACATACCTGCTTCTCTTGCCAGCTTGAGAGCTCTCACCTATCTGTAAGCACTGCCCATCTGTGGTTTGCTCTTCGTACCATGTGCTGCTCCCTTGTACTCCACTTACCCTTTATTGTGGTTGTGTGTTACCGTTGTTGTCGCCAGTCGTTCCCTCTAGCCAACTTTGCCCTCTGCACTAACGTGTGTCATTCACCCCACTGCCCTCTCGCTGCCTCCACGGAGTGTGGCCATCGCACCCGCCTTCCCCGTGCCCTTGTAACTGTTTCCCTCATTTTTTCGTTTCGTTTTCTCTTCGTAATCTTCTGTCTCCGTGATTCCACTCCCTTCATCCACCCCCACCTGCCCCCTCAAGCAGCAACATATCAGCGTCGGGCTTTACATGTCCCCCAGATGCTGCCAGCTGTGTGGTTCGCCAATCCAATGCAAGTGCCTTCTGCCGGCAGTGCAAGAGCTTCTGTACAACGTGTACAACTCACACATGTGAGATTGTTACACTCAGAGTACTAGTCCGTGCCAATCAAAGCCAATCCTTGCTAGTTAATGCATGCCATATGTGTGTATTTATGCAAGCTTAGGGCCTGCATGGATACTTGCATCGTGCACATTGCACGAAATGCCTGAATCTGTCCTTTCTGCGTGTATGTGCATGTGTATGCATGAGTGCCGCCCTATTCAGCTCCCCCACCAAGAACCGTGGCTTCTCCTCCATCGCCACCGCCCCTACCACCCACTAGACTCAGCAGCCCTCCAACCCCATCCTCCTCGCCCCCCTCGTCGCCCTCCCCCTCTGACGCCTCCTCCCCCTCCGGCCTGTCCGTGGGAGCTATCATCGGCATTGTGGCAGCAACCGTCCTGCTGCTGCTGCTCGTGCTCGCCTCTGCTTGGTGGTTTGCCGCACGCACCAGAGCCTCCAACAGAGGTATCATCCTTGCATGCCATGCCATGCCACCAGTTTCCATTAAATGACCGCGAGCACAAGCACCATCCCTTTTTCGTCCTGAAGGAAAAATAAAACACGGGTACATCAACCTAATGATCTGTACTTTGTGCTTCTCGTGATACTCGTTCATCCAATCGTTTCGTCTAACTCAACGCCATGCCTTTTCCTTGCTCTCCCTCCACCCCTTCTCCCACCCCCACCTCACCCAAACTCACCATCGTCAATGCAGACGCACTCGCTGGCTTGCAGAACGCACCCACGCCGTGCCGGCAGTACTCCCTGGCCGTGGTGGCTAGTGCAACCAACAACTGGTCCAAGGAGTGCCTGCTTGGTCGGGCGCGTATGGAGACGTGTACTGCGGGGTGTGCCCCGAGGATGGCACCACGCTGTGGGCCGTGAAGCGCGCCAAATTCATCACTGCTGACTTCCAAAGAGAGGTGGGCGAGATGGGAGGGATGGGATGGGCTAGGGCTGGGTCGAAGCTGCAGGGTGGGGTGGAGTTTTGGCAGTGGCGATCAAGGATCGAATGATATGGCATAAGCTTTACATAGGGAACTATTCGACTCTATGGGTCCATTACTATGTTGCACTATACGCTAAGGCTTCGCACGTATCACGTTTGTACGGAAACGTATATACGAAAAAACGTGATACGTCCATAATACGCGATACGTATAGGTCGAGCAGCCCGGAAAAACAAAACTCAAAATTATGTTTCGCCGTTCTCGCGATCTGCGATTCTGTGAAACCTAAATTTGACATTCGAGACTCGAATTGATCCTTCACCCCCCTTTTCCACTGCACATCACCGCACACCACCTCTTACACCCAACCTTTCCCTCCCACCCACCACTAGCAGCTGGCGGCGAGAGTACAACAGCCTTTCGTATCCCAATTGTCTCACACCTATTTTACTCTACGATGCAGCGTCAAACAGCTTTGTCGGCCGCCAATGCCGCATCTGTTATTGCTGATTGTGACTTAAGCGTCACATTGCAGGGTCTTCGCGGCCAAAATTTCAGGGCGATTCTGGCCAACGATCCCTCAAACATTTTAGAGTTCCTTATCGCAAAAACGCCCAGGAGATTATCCGCATCAGCAAGCATCTAGTATAACTCCTGAAGGATTCTACCTCGGCTGATGTGTTTTATCCCTGCCCGAAGAATCTTTTTGCCTGCCCGACACTCCGTATTTCGGGTTTTTCTGTACGCTGGAAGTCAGCGTATCACGAATCGAACGCGTACCGTACGCTGGTCGCGTATTTTGCAACATAGGTCCATAAGAATGTCGATTCTGATTGAATCAGAGCCATTCTGGAAGGATGACCAAACCCACTCTTTTCCTCCTCCTCCTCCTCCTCCTCCTCCTCCTCCTCCTCCTCCTCCTCCTCCTCCTCCTCCTCCTCCTCCTCCTCCTCCTCCTCTTCCTCGTCGTCGTCGTCGTCGTCGTCGTCCTCCTCCTCCTCCTCCTCCTCCTCCTCCTCCTCCTCCTCCTCCTCCTCCTCCTCCTCCTCCTCCTCCTCCTCCTCCTCCTCCACCTCCTCCTCCTCCTCCTCCTTATCCTCCTCCTCCTCCTCCTCCTCCTCCTCCTCCTCCTCCTCCTCCTCCTCCTCCTCCTCCTCCTCCTCCCCCCCCCCCCCCCCCCCCTCCTTCCTTTGCCTGCCCACAGGTGGCTCAAATGGCCACGAAGCACCACCCCAATCTGGTGCGGCTGCTGGGGTTTGCAGTGGGTGGTGATGTGAACACGCAGGTGGAAAATGTCCTCATTTATGAGTTCATTGGCAATGGCGACCTCCAGCGGTGGATTGAGCAAGGTACAGTTGAGAAGGCTATTGATCCAACCAAGCTTGTCTAGTCCCTCGGCCTGTGCTTGTGCCCAGTCCCACGCGATAAATCATGTTATTGGGTACTTATTATCCTTCAGGTACGTTGGAGGTTTATTTCAGTAGTTTATTTATGGATTTTATATATCCGTTTACATTATAGCAGTGTAGACACCAGGGGTTAGGTTATGTTAGTTACTTATAGGGTGCTGCCCAAGTGATATTATAAAGTGCTAGGCACACCAAATCTGGCTTTGGGCACCTCAGCACGTCTCCCAACTTTGGGAACGCAACTCAAGCCTGAACCCACGAAGTCCATTATTGGAATTCGAGTTTCCAGTTTGTAGAATCGCGGTTCCACCAGAAGGGGCTTTTCCAGGCCCACTTTGAGGGTCCCTCACGTCCCCATCTTGATTGTGTGCGACTTGAGCACCCATTTGGCCACTCCAAGCCCCTTGGGTACCAATTTCCTCACCTAGACCAGCCCTAATCGCCTCGAAGCTATTTCTCTTCACTCTCTACCTACTTTACCTCATGTTTTGCTTGTCTCCATCATTTCAATTTACTTATTGTTTCTAGAACCTTGCAGCATTTCTAAACCTGCTTCTCTTTGTGTACATTACAAATTCGATTATTCCGTCGGATAGGGGTGTTCCTTTATTTTCGCCTAGGGGCTTAACATGAGCAAAAGGGGCAATAGAGTATTTTTGTATTTCAAGCCCCTACCAAATTTGTGGTGATTTTTGCATTTGAATACGTCGTGGCAGTGTGGGTTCTTCCCCATTATAGGGCAATGTAAATAAACGAAGGCCTTTATCCGGGGGATTACGGTATGACCGATTCTCTCCAATGGTCAGCATCTCTAATGACGCCTTGCCTCGCCTCTACCATTCTCCATTCCAGATGCGCCCACAAGTCTGACTCTACTGCAGCGGGTGAACATCTTACTAGGGGTGGCACGTGGGTTGGAGTATCTCCACAGCTTTGGCATCTATATCAAATGCAAGATTGCCTAGCACACAAGTATGTCGACCACCAGCGCAGCAAAGTTGACGACCTGCCAGCACCGCAAAGTCGACCGCACTCCAGCACTGCAAAGTGGCGACTTGCCAACGTAGCAAGTCGACGGCTTGCCAACGTAGCAAGTCGACAGCTTGCCAACGCTGCAGCAAGGCGGCTGTCCAGCGTTGCATCCGCAGGTGACAGCAGTGCACATGCACGCACCAACTTTGCAGTTGCTTGCAGACGGTTGGTGCGACGTGCACCGTCACGTGCACGGCGCAAGTGCAAGGTCGTCCACGTGGTGATGGCGGCGCCTGATGAGCCACGTCGACCTCGGGATACCACTCTGAGGTCGGCATCACCAGAACCTCCTGGGCGACGATCGCGCACCTCCGCAGAACCTCGTCGCCCTGGTAACTCGGTCGACCTGGCTACCTCCAAGTCTGCGTCGACTTGAGCGGCCCGAAGTCAACCAACAGCTGTACTTGGACGTCGACCACGGAGGTCGACACTTCCCGCCGACTACAACAAGTCGGCGTCCTTGCAGGTCGACGAAACCCCTCATCGACCACCCCGAAGCTGTCCGCCGACTTCGCCAAGTCGGCCTCCCATGGTCGGCGCTCTCAAGTCGGTGCCCAAGGTTGGCGCCCTCAAGTCGGCGCCCCTCCCAGGTCGACAAGTCCCTTCGTCGACCTCCCGGTTGAAGTCGGCCGCCGGCTCCCGTCGTCGGCGCTTCGCAGTGGCCCCGTGCAGGTTGACTAAGTCCGTCGACCCGCTCGCCCAAGTCGGCATCGCCCAAGTCGGCGTCGCCCACTGCAGACGGTCGGTTGCAACTCCCGACCACAAAGTCGGGAGGACGGGACTTACACCCAACTCCCGTTAATAGGGTCGGGCCGGCCTTTTGGCTCGTGTTGACCCGACCCGTATTCGGGTCAGGAACTGGGAAATAGGGTCGGGACACAGGGGGGACGCGGAAACCCTAACCAACCAAGTCGATGTCGAGCGGACATTCTTCCCCTCGACATCATTCCCCGCTACCTAAATTCTAACCTTCAACTTAGAATTCCTAGTTTCTATGCAAGTAATAGTCGACTATGTGCAGAGGCTCAATGTCGAGAGATCCGAAAAGAGTGGGAGAGGGGGGGGAGGGGAGAGGGGGGGGGGGGGTTGGGAATTGTAGATCAGTGCGTTAAAACCGGGGTGCACATTCAGCTGAATGGGTTACGAGGTGTGCTTCCAACCCCTTCAAGTCGAAATTCGTTTCCCCCCTCCCCCGCAATTTCGTTTCCCCTCGCCCCCGCAATTTCATTTCCCCCTCCCCGTCGAAATTCGTTTCCCCCCTCCCCCGCAATTTTGTTTCCCCCCTCCCCCGCAATTTCGTTTCCCCCCCCTCCCGCCAATCTGTTTCATCCCTCCCGCCATTCGGTTTCACCCACTCCCGCCATTTCACCCCCTCCCGCCACCTACGAAATGCCCGAAGCTCTAGCGGAATCATTTTTTTGTCGCCCCTCGTGAGCCAATCACTGTTTTTCTCCAAACCCCCTTCCCAACATCTCAAGCCGAACCGCGTTGAATGTGCACCCTGGTTTTAAGGAGTGATGAGCAGTGGCGAATTGGTTGGACATGTTGGTTAATGAATTGTCCAACACATTAGTTGGAAACGAGTGCCAGGGTGAGTAAATCATAGGCAAAAATCCCGATCTCCAAATTGGTTAGCGAAATTGTCGTTCTGCACGGCTGCGCCAACGAAATCACCGATCTGCGCAGATCGGCAGGCAAAATCGCAGATCTACGCAGAGCGCGGGCGGAAACGGGTTTCCTGACCGACCCGAGGTCGGGTCAGGGTATTCAACATCCTGGCCCGAGGCTGGCCCGAACCGACCCGGCCCGGAAACCCGCTTGGCCCGGCCAATTCGGGTCGGGCCGGGTCGGGCCAGGCCAAATGGTCATGCCAGCAGCTCGATTGAATTGATCGGCATAGGCAAACTACAAGGTATAAAGGCTGGGATGGAGAACCAACCGAACCCAAAGCTAGGGTTTCAGTCAAGGTTTGATATATCCAGTTCACAACATAATTTGCAGAAACCCAACCAACCACACTGCATGTTTCTTTTCACTGAACAAGATAGAGTGAGCCTTGACTGATAATTGAGAAGCATATCAAGGGTTATAGAAAGAAGTGCAACATACTAGATTGCTGCAAAGACCTCTAGAGGGATATGTTGACGGATAAGCAAGGAAATCGCAAAACAAGCTTGGGGAGTGAAGGTCATTCGATTTGGGTTGACCAATCGAGAGGGAGCGGCGCGTCAAGTAATTCATATGCTTGAGCGGGAGGAATCTATGTAATTACTTTGATGAACCCTTATGCAAGTGAATGAGTATTAGTAGAAACTCCATCCTTGAACAACACAGAATAAAATCATCCTACAAATGTAAACCAGGGGGGAATCTACACCCACGTATGTCCCACTTTGCATGCTTCTCGTTTCATGTGTGGGACAAATTTAAGCTGCCCCTTGCAAGAATCCGCAACATACGGTCTCCCTTTCTTTTGCACAACCTGGTTTCCTTCCTTTCAGTCTTGACCCTCTGATGCTGGTGATGCTGTCAGGCATAGGAGCCACTGTGGACGTGAGTCCGAGCAGTGAGATAGGTGACTTGAGCAACCAGGAACCAGCCTCCATTTCCGTTTGGGTGTGTACCTTGCTTTCACCTATGTTGATCCATCTCTGAATAATTCCTACTATATCCATCGCTGAATATCTCCTTACTAAATCTGTCGCTAATTAATTCCTTATTGTTCTTCCTATTAGCCTCTACCTGCCATTGTTATGCTTGCACTCGCCATTACTACTGTCGCTAACTGGGCCCATTGTTTGTGTCTCCCGCCAACACTGAAACAGGCATCGGGTCTCATAGCAGGTGGGAGGACATCACTCCTCCGGGACCCGCGCATGGAAGCACCTGATGACATCATCAATCGCCTTGCCCAGCTGGCTGTGAGTTGCACAGCCATGCGCGCTTTCTCCCGCCCCTCCATGTCCCGCGTGGCCCAAGACTTGGAGGCGGTGAGAGGGGAGGTGGGAGGGTGGGATGTGAGAGCAAGCGCTGCAGAAAGGGTGGATGAGCTGCTGGAGAGCCAGCGCCCTGTGAGGAGCATGGAGGAGGATCTGGCCTTTTTGGATCAACACTAACAGGCCAAGGTGGAATTGCAGCTAACGTTTCTAGCCATGCGCCGGGGATCACAGGTTCTAGAGCAAATGCAGATGAAGGGGTTTCGTAGCACTGGGCAGCAATCAACCTTGTGAGGGAATTATTTACTATAGCACTGCCAAAACAACATGTCCTGCTACCTGTGGCCTATGTGTCTCTGCACGATGTAGTGTGGTGTGGGCTTCACTTGGTCATCGGTCGGATAGAGGATAGGTGGTATCTTCGAATGAGGTTTTATATATTTCAGCCGGGAATAATCCTACATATAGAATTTTTTTTCAGCAGACCTGTGTTGGAACTTGACTTTGCCTGAACCCAAATCATGTTGAGGTTCCCACTTTCAAGTTCGTGCTCCTAAGTATATCCATCTTTATTAGAGCATATTCATTTGTACCGCTCCTGCACTCCTACAGCTTCCGTGTACGCTTTATACCGCAAATGCACACCCTTGTTCAGCTTCACCCATCCCGCCCACATGTGTACATTTTTTGCGCTTCTCTTGCCACTCTCACTCGCGGCACATCTGATGAACATACCAGTCAGCATGTTCTTACCGTAGTAGCGTAGCGTCCTCCCTCTCGCCGCCCTGGTCGTCTCGCCACTAGCTAACCATGGAGTCACCTTCTCGACCTGCTCGAAATGCAGCCGTCTGTTTATGTTTTGCCCTCGCTCTTCTCCTCGTCGTCCTAGTACTTTGCACGGATCCGCCCTGCACTCACCGCGGTCTTTCGACTCTCGAATTCTCGTCGCTCGCACCCTCCTTCGGCTGTAACTTCCCGATTCTATCCCCAATCGCATCCCTCGTTTCTTCCTCGCTCCGTCCCTTCCCCCCCCCGACGCTCGCCTATTCCACCCATGGCGCCGATGCAACCCCTTCCGCGCAGCCTGATTCTCCGTCGCACGCGGCGATACGCGACCCTCTCGATCGCGCCTCGCACTCGTCGCAGCTGCGTCGCCCGTCACCGCAGTCGCACGGTGTGGGTGACGCGTCGGCGATTCTCCCCGAGTACCTGGGCCACGTGGCGACGGGCGGCGAGGGCCTCGCGTGGGGCGACAGGTGCTTCGAGCAGGTCACGGCGCGACTGGCCGTGCGCGCGGGGAGGCTTGGGCGCACGGGAGGGGGAGGGGGAGGAGGAGGAGGCGGAGGAGGATTAAGAGGAGGAGAGGCCGTGGGGATGAGGAGAAGCGTGAGAAACGAGGGTTGGGATGTGCCAGATGTGGGAGAGCGGGAAGATGGGGAGGCGAGGGCAAGGAGGAGAGTGATGCGAGGCGAGGAAGGGGGAAGGGAGTGGGTGGTGGCGATTCAGCGGGAGCCAGGGGCGGAGGGAGAGGGCGGGTCGGATGGGGCGAGGGTGAGGGCGGTGGATGGACGACAGGCTGCAGCGACCGTCACTCTCTCTGTGCGTGACTCTCTCTGTGCGTGCCACATGCACCCTGTGTCGTGCCACATGCACCCCGTGTCATGCCACATGCACCCCGTGTCGTGACACGTGACACACTCATCCTGTTCCGTGACGTGACACGCAAGGCATGAGAGTGTGCGGCCAAGCGTGTGTGTGCTCAAGAAGCATGGATGGTAACGCCATGCGTGCGGACCCCTACTCCATTGCCCATGCAGCATGCCACATCAAACCCTTCCAGCCCATGAGTTTTTTCCGTTGCTCCGCTTCTTCTCCCTCTTTTACCATCCCCCCATTCTCCTTTCCCCCCTACCCCACTGGCCACCGTCAGCCCCGTGGCAAGCGGCATACGCTCTCCACGGACGTCTATGCACTCGCCGCGCCTTGTCTCTCTTCCCAACAACTCGCCTTCCGATAAAAGAAGTTTTTTGAGACGTCTCAAAACACTTGTTTTCCCTTCCCTTTCCACCAACACGACTTCCCGACGCAACCCCCACCTGCCCCGTGGCAAGCGGTGCATGCTGCTGTGCACGGTCGTGTACCGTGTACGCACCTCACCACGCCCGTCTCCAACACCTCTGCCTTATGCCATCTCTGTCTCCCTCAGCCGCGTGGCAAGCGGCGCATGCTGTGCACGGACGTGTACGCGCTCGCCACGCCGTTCCACCTGGTGGTGCGCGTGCTGCCCCTCGCCCTGCCCCACACCATCACCGTGCCCTGGCCCGCCATGGGGCCGCTCGAGATGGACTATGTGCGTCCTGTGTTGCATGCATGCATGCATGTGTGTGTGTGTGTGTGTGCATTTCGTTCCACGCATCTGTGTGCATTCCATTTCTTGCGTGTGCTGTGTTCAAGCTTCAGCACAGGCTGCACCCGGCACTCAAGTCCCGAGGCCAATTGCTCCCCCCCCCCTCTCTCCTCTCCGCCATTACCGCCCCTCCCATCCCACCCTGCAGGTGCAGCAGCGGGGCGTGGCTGTGTTCCGCCTGCCGCACGGGCTGTGGGGGGCGGTCAAGGCGCTGCTGCAGCTGCTGCCGCTGGCGTCTGACAGCAGCGTGGGCGAGGCGGCTCAACTGCGCTTCCTGCAGCAGCACATGCACGCCTCCTTCCACCCCCATGTGTATGCCTCCCTGCCTTGTCACATGTATGCCTCCTTTATTGTCACATGTATGCCTCCCTGCACTGCCATGTGTACGTCTCCGCTCAAGCCTGTGTCTATATTCAATCTCAGAAGTTTTCACTGCTCTTCACACTGCCACTGCTGAGGGTACTGCTTTCCACTTTCCTCCCTCTCCTGTGTCACCCTCACCCACTTCCTTTGCCGCTCTCCTCCCCACTTTTCCCTCTCCTCCCTACTCCCTCTCTCCACCCGCTCTCACCCCCCTCCTCCCTTCACCAGTCACCCTCATCGGCCTCCTTGGGCTCTCTCCCTACCCACCTCCCTTCCTTCCCACCAGACCGCTCATCGCTCCCCCCAACCTCTCTCTCCCGGCCGCCATGGCATTCCTCGCAAGTGGCGATCTTCTGCTGACGAGCAAGTTCCGCGGGCCGTGGGGGCTCTCAAATACCATGGAGAAGTGGGTCACCGGCAGCTATGCCGCTCATGCCACACCCCCCCCTTCTTCTTTCCCACCAGGCCCCTCGCTCCGCCCCCAGACCTCTCTCTCCCAGCCGCCACAGCCTTCCTCGCAAGCGGCGATCTGGTGCTGACGAGCAAGTTCCGCGGGCCGTGGGGCCTCTTTGAGACCATTGAGAAGTGGGTCACCGGCAGCTATGCCGCTCATGCTGCCCTGCTGCTGCGGAGCGAGGATGCAGGGGCGGGTGCGGGTGGGGATGGTGATGGGGTTGACGGGGGTGAGGGCGCTGGGGAAGGGGGATTGGGGGATCTGTGGGTGGCCGAGAGTGGGCGGATCAGTGTGGCAGGGCGGCCAGAAATTGCAGTGGAGCGGTTTCCAGAGTGGTGGAGGCGGATGCAGAGGGATCCGAGTGGGCAGCACGTGGTGGTGCTGCGGCTGGGGGAGGAGGGGCGGCGGCGATGGGACAATGGGCGCGCGTGGGCGTTCGTGCGGGCGATGGAGGGGCGGCAGTTTGGGTATCACAACATTATGTTCAGCTGGATCGATACACCTGCAAACAACTTTCCCCCGCCTGTTAATGAGAATACTGTAAGGCAGGGCTGGTGATTCATGTGTTAGTCGACTGAGCGATCGAGGCGCAGCAGTTTGGACACCACAATATCATGTTCAGCTGGATTGATACACCTGCTGGCAACTTCCCTCCACCCGTCAATGAGCACACGGTGAGGGGGGCCTGGTGAATGGGCACTGTGACGGAGGCCTGGTGGATGGGCACTGTGACGGAGGCCTGGTGGATGGGCACTGTGACGGAGGCCTGGTGAATGGGCACTGTGACGGAGGCCTGGTGGATGGGCACTGTGACGGAGGCCTGGTGGATGGGCACTGTGACGGAGGCCTGGTGAATGGGCACTGTGACGGGGGCCTGGTGGATGGGCACTGTGACGGGGGCCTGGTGGATGGGCACTGTGACGGGGGCCTGGTGGATGGGCACTGTGACGGGGGCCTGGTGGATGGGCACTGTGACGGGGGCCTGGTGGATGGGCACTGTGACGGGGGCCTGGTGGATGGGCACTGTGACGGGGGCCTGGTGGATGGGCACTGTGACGGGGGCCTGGTGGATGGGCACTGTGACGGGGGCCTGGTGGATGGGCACTGTGACGGGGGCCCGGTGGATGGGCACTGTGACGGGGGCCCGGTGGATGGGCACTGTGACGGGGGCCCGGTGGATGGGCACTGTGACGGGGGCCCGGTGGATGGGCACTGTGACGGGGGCCCGGTGGATGGGCACTGTGACGGGGGCCCGGTGGATGGGCACTGTGACGGGGGCCTGGTGGATGGGCACTGTGACGGGGGCCTGGTGGATGGGCACTGTGACGGGGGCCTGGTGGATGGGCACTGTGACGGGGGCCTGGTGGATGGGCACTGTGACGGGGGCCTGGTGGATGGGCACTGTGACGGGGGCCTGGTGGATGGGCACTGTGACGGGGGCCTGGTGGATGGGCACTGTGACGGGGGCCTGGTGGATGGGCACTGTGACGGGGGCCTGGTGGATGGGCACTGTGACGGGGGCCTGGTGGATGGGCACTGTGACGGGGGCCTGGTGGATGGGCACTGTGACGGGGGCCTGGTGGATGGGCACTGTGACGGGGGCCTGGTGGATGGGCACTGTGACGGGGGCCTGGTGGATGGGCACTGTGACGGGGGCCTGGTGGATGGGCACTGTGACGGGGGCCTGGTGGATGGGCACTGTGACGGGGGCCTGGTGGATGGGCACTGTGACGGGGGCCTGGTGGATGGGCACTGTGACGGGGGCCTGGTGGATGGGCACTGTGACGGGGGCCTGGTGGATGGGCACTGTGACGGGGGCCTGGTGGATGGGCACTGTGACGGGGGCCTGGTGGATGGGCACTGTGACGGGGGCCTGGTGGATGGGCACTGTGACGGGGGCCTGGTGGATGGGCACTGTGACGGGGGCCTGGTGGATGGGCACTGTGACGGGGGCCTGGTGGATGGGCACTGTGACGGGGGCCTGGTGGATGGGCACTGTGACGGGGGCCCGGTGGATGGGCACTGTGACGGGGGCCCGGTGGATGGGCACTGTGACGGGGGCCCTGGTGGATGGGCACTGTGACGGGGGCCTGGTGGATGGGCACTGTGACGGGGGCCTGGTGGATGGGCACTGTGACGGGGGCCTGGTGGATGGGCACTGTGACGGGGGCCTGGTGGATGGGCACTGTGACGGGGGCCTGGTGGATGGGCACTGTGACGGGGGCCTGGTGGATGGGCACTGTGACGGGGGCCTGGTGGATGGGCACTGTGACGGGGGCCTGGTGGATGGGCACTGTGACGGGGGCCTGGTGGATGGGCACTGTGACGGGGGCCTGGTGGATGGGCACTGTGACGGGGGCCTGGTGGATGGGCACTGTGACGGGGGCCTGGTGGATGGGCACTGTGACGGGGGCCTGGTGGATGGGCACTGTGACGGGGGCCTGGTGGATGGGCACTGTGACGGGGGCCTGGTGGATGGGCACTGTGACGGGGGCCTGGTGGATGGGCACTGTGACGGGGGCCTGGTGGATGGGCACTGTGACGGGGGCCTGGTGGATGGGCACTGTGACGGGGGCCTGGTGGATGGGCACTGTGACGGGGGCCTGGTGGATGGGCACTGTGACGGGGGCCTGGTGGATGGGCACTGTGACGGGGGCCTGGTGGATGGGCACTGTGACGGGGGCCTGGTGGATGGGCACTGTGACGGGGGCCTGGTGGATGGGCACTGTGACGGGGGCCTGGTGGATGGGCACTGTGACGGGGGCCTGGTGGATGGGCACTGTGACGGGGGCCTGGTGGATGGGCACTGTGACGGGGGCCTGGTGGATGGGCACTGTGACGGGGGCCTGGTGGATGGGCACTGTGACGGGGGCCTGGTGGATGGGCACTGTGACGGGGGCCTGGTGGATGGGCACTGTGACGGGGGCCTGGTGGATGGGCACTGTGACGGGGGCCTGGTGGATGGGCACTGTGACGGGGGCCTGGTGGATGGGCACTGTGACGGGGGCCTGGTGGATGGGCACTGTGACGGGGGCCTGGTGGATGGGCACTGTGACGGGGGCCTGGTGGATGGGCACTGTGACGGGGGCCTGGTGGATGGGCACTGTGACGGGGGCCTGGTGGATGGGCACTGTGACGGGGGCCTGGTGGATGGGCACTGTGACGGGGGCCTGGTGGATGGGCACTGTGACGGGGGCCTGGTGGATGGGCACTGTGACGGGGGCCTGGTGGATGGGCACTGTGACGGGGGCCTGGTGGATGGGCACTGTGACGGGGGCCTGGTGGATGGGCACTGTGACGGGGGCCTGGTGGATGGGCACTGTGACGGGGGCCTGGTGGATGGGCACTGTGACGGGGGCCTGGTGGATGGGCACTGTGACGGGGGCCTGGTGGATGGGCACTGTGACGGGGGCCTGGTGGATGGGCACTGTGACGGGGGCCTGGTGGATGGGCACTGTGACGGGGGCCTGGTGGATGGGCACTGTGACGGGGGCCTGGTGGATGGGCACTGTGACGGGGGCCTGGTGGATGGGCACTGTGACGGGGGCCTGGTGGATGGGCACTGTGACGGGGGCCTGGTGGATGGGCACTGTGACGGGGGCCTGGTGGATGGGCACTGTGACGGGGGCCTGGTGGATGGGCACTGTGACGGGGGCCTGGTGGATGGGCACTGTGACGGGGGCCTGGTGGATGGGCACTGTGACGGGGGCCTGGTGGATGGGCACTGTGACGGGGGCCTGGTGGATGGGCACTGTGACGGGGGCCTGGTGGATGGGCACTGTGACGGGGGCCTGGTGGATGGGCACTGTGACGGGGGCCTGGTGGATGGGCACTGTGACGGGGGCCTGGTGGATGGGCACTGTGACGGGGGCCTGGTGGATGGGCACTGTGACGGGGGCCTGGTGGATGGGCACTGTGACGGGGGCCTGGTGGATGGGCACTGTGACGGGGGCCTGGTGGATGGGCACTGTGACGGGGGCCTGGTGGATGGGCACTGTGACGGGGGCCTGGTGGATGGGCACTGTGACGGGGGCCTGGTGGATGGGCACTGTGACGGGGGCCTGGTGGATGGGCACTGTGACGGGGGCCTGGTGGATGGGCACTGTGACGGGGGCCTGGTGGATGGGCACTGTGACGGGGGCCTGGTGGATGGGCACTGTGACGGGGGCCTGGTGGATGGGCACTGTGACGGGGGCCTGGTGGATGGGCACTGTGACGGGGGCCTGGTGGATGGGCACTGTGACGGGGGCCTGGTGGATGGGCACTGTGACGGGGGCCTGGTGGATGGGCACTGTGACGGGGGCCTGGTGGATGGGCACTGTGACGGGGGCCTGGTGGATGGGCACTGTGACGGGGGCCTGGTGGATGGGCACTGTGACGGGGGCCTGGTGGATGGGCACTGTGACGGGGGCCTGGTGGATGGGCACTGTGACGGGGGCCTGGTGGATGGGCACTGTGACGGGGGCCTGGTGGATGGGCACTGTGACGGGGGCCTGGTGGATGGGCACTGTGACGGGGGCCTGGTGGATGGGCACTGTGACGGGGGCCTGGTGGATGGGCACTGTGACGGGGGCCTGGTGGATGGGCACTGTGACGGGGGCCTGGTGGATGGGCACTGTGACGGGGGCCTGGTGGATGGGCACTGTGACGGGGGCCTGGTGGATGGGCACTGTGACGGGGGCCTGGTGGATGGGCACTGTGACGGGGGCCTGGTGGATGGGCACTGTGACGGGGGCCTGGTGGATGGGCACTGTGACGGGGGCCTGGTGGATGGGCACTGTGACGGGGGCCTGGTGGATGGGCACTGTGACGGGGGCCTGGTGGATGGGCACTGTGACGGGGGCCTGGTGGATGGGCACTGTGACGGGGGCCTGGTGGATGGGCACTGTGACGGGGGCCTGGTGGATGGGCACTGTGACGGGGGCCTGGTGGATGGGCACTGTGACGGGGGCCTGGTGGATGGGCACTGTGACGGGGGCCTGGTGGATGGGCACTGTGACGGGGGCCTGGTGGATGGGCACTGTGACGGGGGCCTGGTGGATGGGCACTGTGACGGGGGCCTGGTGGATGGGCACTGTGACGGGGGCCTGGTGGATGGGCACTGTGACGGGGGCCTGGTGGATGGGCACTGTGACGGGGGCCTGGTGGATGGGCACTGTGACGGGGGCCTGGTGGATGGGCACTGTGACGGGGGCCTGGTGGATGGGCACTGTGACGGGGGCCTGGTGGATGGGCACTGTGACGGGGGCCTGGTGGATGGGCACTGTGACGGGGGCCTGGTGGATGGGCACTGTGACGGGGGCCTGGTGGATGGGCACTGTGACGGGGGCCTGGTGGATGGGCACTGTGACGGGGGCCTGGTGGATGGGCACTGTGACGGGGGCCTGGTGGATGGGCACTGTGACGGGGGCCTGGTGGATGGGCACTGTGACGGGGGCCTGGTGGATGGGCACTGTGACGGGGGCCTGGTGGATGGGCACTGTGACGGGGGCCTGGTGGATGGGCACTGTGACGGGGGCCTGGTGGATGGGCACTGTGACGGGGGCCTGGTGGATGGGCACTGTGACGGGGGCCTGGTGGATGGGCACTGTGACGGGGGCCTGGTGGATGGGCACTGTGACGGGGGCCTGGTGGATGGGCACTGTGACGGGGGCCTGGTGGATGGGCACTGTGACGGGGGCCTGGTGGATGGGCACTGTGACGGGGGCCTGGTGGATGGGCACTGTGACGGGGGCCTGGTGGATGGGCACTGTGACGGGGGCCTGGTGGATGGGCACTGTGACGGGGGCCTGGTGGATGGGCACTGTGACGGGGGCCTGGTGGATGGGCACTGTGACGGGGGCCTGGTGGATGGGCACTGTGACGGGGGCCTGGTGGATGGGCACTGTGACGGGGGCCTGGTGGATGGGCACTGTGACGGGGGCCTGGTGGATGGGCACTGTGACGGGGGCCTGGTGGATGGGCACTGTGACGGGGGCCTGGTGGATGGGCACTGTGACGGGGGCCTGGTGGATGGGCACTGTGACGGGGGCCTGGTGGATGGGCACTGTGACGGGGGCCTGGTGGATGGGCACTGTGACGGGGGCCTGGTGGATGGGCACTGTGACGGGGGCCTGGTGGATAAGTGTGGTGCATGCAGCGCGATGGCATGCCGTGCCCATGTCTCCTCTCCACCATGCTCTGCTCTGCTCTTTCCTATGTCTCCTCCTGTTCTCCCCTGCTCTTTTCCACTCCCTTCACCACCCCATTCTCTCCGTCCCTAACGGCCCCCCTCCACTCCGCAGGTGGCAGCGCTGGCAGCTGTGTGGAGCCGAGTGCAGCCAGAATATGCCGCCCGCATATGGAACGAGGCCCTTAACAGACGCCTGGGGACTCAGGTGAGTGGTCAGGTGAATAGTGAGGTGAATAGTGCCACCTGTACCTGCAATCTGAGGTTGCTCTGTTGATTTTCTCCGAGCCTTTTGTTGAAAGTCGAATAATCGCGGCTCCGTCCTCTGGCTACAGATGTAACACCTGTTGCATGTTGCTATTGCTCTTTATGGTAAAACTTATCCATCCTTTTCCTCTCCGACCCACCAATCAGAACCTCTCGCTAGAGCAAGTGCTGGTCGAGTGTCAGCACCGAAACATTTCGTTCGGGCAGCTGCTGGCGCTGCCCGAGCAGGACAGCTGGCGCTACAGTGACGGGCTGTCGCTGTCGTGTGTGGCGTTTGCACTGCGCGTGTGGAAGGTGGCGGGTGTGTTTGGCGCCATGGGGGAACACATCAACGTCAGCGAATTCACTGTCAGTGCCTCTGCTGTGCTCCCATGCTCCCATGCCTCCATGCTGCAATCCCGCTGTGTGCCGCTTTCCCATGACCGCAGCCACCCCATGCCACGTGGCATCTCTTTGTCCTCCAAGCGGCCCTTGTCTCACCACAACCTCATCCTGCTTTTAAGTGTGACACCTACCATCCGCCCTCCCCCCTCCATCAGATCCGACACACCTACCAGCTGCAGCTCTTTGCCTCCAACGCCTCCCACCTGCCGTTCTGGTGCTTTTGAGTCGACTCAAAGTCTTCGCTCTCATGCGGCATCCTCTATGCCCATCCACCATCCCCGTCTCCCCCAAACCCCCCCCCCTCCTTCCCTCCCCCCCTCCCATCAGATCCGAGACGCCTACCAGCTGCAGCTCTTTGCTTCCAACGCCTCCCACCTGCCCTTTTGGTGCTTCAGCCAAGACCAATCAGAGGAGGAGCAAGAACTTAGAAGAAGGGAGAGCAACGGAGGGAGGAAAGGGGGAAATAGGGAGCATGGCAGGGAGCAGGGAGGGGAGGGGGTGGGTGGAGCGCGGGCGTGGTGTCAGCTGCTGGGCAAGTGGCGCTTCGACCTGCCTGGCTTCAACTCCATCCCTCTCTATGCTCACATGAACGAACAATGCCCCACCCTCCCCCCCACCTACATGCGGCCATCCTTCTGCTGACTTCATCCGTAGCTGCGCATGCACGTTCTGCTACCCTGTAACCTAGAATCAGTACGTAGTTTGTTACGTGGAGCTGATATGGCCAACTAGCTGATATGTCATTTCCACACCTGTATATAATGCACGCTGTAAAGCCCCTGTGCCCACTTTTATCATGCTGTTGTCCCATAGATGTAAGCCCAGACCTCGGTGAAGCGCATGCGCTTATACCGGTACCTGGAAACACTAGTAGTTAGAGCATATCACGTAGGCACAGCAGTACTGAAGCATAACTCGCAATCACCACAACCATAGAAGCTGCATGGACTCCGCAATTACCCACAAAGAAAACAGCACAGTGACAGTCCTCTGAACTTCTCCCGAACCTGCACTGTTACTGTAATGCCAACAAACCAAGATCTACAGATGGTACGGTGGTTATGCCAGCTTAGTACCCGCTGGTGGGCTTGAGATGCAGCCAGCTCCTGACGCCATCAGCTATCGAGCCAATGCTCATGTATGAGCTCGCACTAGGGTGTGAGTCAGAAGACATGCGAGAATCCCTTCCACCATACGACACAGCTGAGACATTTGTCTCTGGCAGACCTCCGGTGCTCGAGCCTTCTTCGTTCCCGACACTCTCCCACTCGTCCTCCTTGTCCGGGCAGTGCTTGGCAATGAGAGCAGTGAGGCGATACGCCACCTCTGTCATGGCGGGTCGCCTTGTGCCTGGCGACTTCATGCAGTCCAGAGCCAGGTCTGCAAACTCCACTATGGCCTCCTCGCTCACTGCCGGCATCTTGCTGTCCTTGACCTCATCCAGTTCAAATACCTCGATCTTCTGTCTTGCCTGGCGGGCGTCCAGGAAGGGAGAGATGATAGATTGGAGAGGCGTCCATGCAAGGAAGGATGATAGAGAAGAGAGGCGTTGCCAAGGAGAGTGATAGTGGGCAAAGGTGGTGGAAGGCAGCAGAGAAAGGGAACTATGATTGAAGACGGACAAGGTCCAGGGATACAAAGACAGACTTGACATTGACGGCCATACCCATTCTCTGATATGAGATTTCTTTGTAACCTGAGGTGGCTTTCCACTGAGCAACTCCAGAAGCACAATGCCGAAGCTGCAAGCAGGCAAAAAAATGGACAATCAGAGTACAGCAGAAGGTTGTGATACAGGGTACATGTAATCGAATGAAAACCATAAACAGGGTGGGTAATCCAAAACAATTTTGCACATACTCGTTATGCTGTACGACGGAACAAGCATGCGAACCTGAACACATCACTCCTGGCAGTGATGATGTTGGTGCGGTTGTAATCCGGGTCCACGTAGCCCGGAGTGCCAGCCACGCGCGTGGCATCAGAGTCGCCATGAGTGAGGAGCTTGAGCAGCCCGAAGTCAGCCACCTTGGCGTGCATGTCGGCAGTCACAAGGATGTTGGCCGGCTTGATGTCGCGGTGAACGATGGGTGTGTCAAACCCATGCAGGTACGCCAGGCCCTCTGCTGCTCCCTGTGCTAGGCGCAGCCTCTGGCGCAGCGAGAGCGGATCTGGAAGGGAAAGCACGAAATCTAATCATAACTCATGTTTGTAGAAGCAACGGTGTCATTTTCTCGGTGTTTCTTGATCGCCCGGTAACCAAATTGGAAAAGCTATCGGTCGAAACTCACTCTTGGTTGCGTGGATGTGGTAGTCCAGGTCCCTGTTGCCCACGAACTCGTACACCAGGATCTGCTCCTGCTTGCCCGTCTCCACGTTCTGATCCAGGCAGAAGCCCAGCAGGCGCACGAGATGCGAGTGGTGGAGAGACGCCATGGCTCGCACCTGCAGCCCAAACGCCAAAAAACAACACAGGTGTGAACATCGAATCTGCTGGTTTGCTTTGCATCAAATAGAATATTGGATGATAGCATTTGCGTTATATGCTTTCGAGAAGGAAAAGGGCAGGCATGCTGCTAACAGTGAGATTCGCCTCACCTCCGTTTCAAAGTCATTGGTCATGATCTTGGAGCGCTTGATAGCCCACAGCTGGCCCTGTGGCGAGTGGCCTTTGTAGACAACGTCAAAGCCACCCTTGCCCAGCACATTGTCTTTGGACCAGTTGTCGGTGGCCTTCACCATCTGCTCCAGAGAAAACTGCTCGCACACATCCAGCCCCTCCCACTTCTCTGTGCACACACAAAGACAGACAGGATGCGAATCGACCAGGGGTGCATGTGATTAGACAGAGCATGGGGGACGAGTAGGGGAGCGTTAAAGGAGGATGGACAAGAGGCGCAGAAATGGGAGAGATGGAAGGGAAAAAGGTTTGGGGGCCTCACTCTGTCCGCGGGGCCACAGCAGCCAAGCGACAACAGCAGCCAGCACAGTAAAGCCAGCAAAGCAGCCGACAGCAATACCCGCTATGGCACCCGTGGACAAGGAGGACACTGCGGAGTGGGGAGGGTTGGGAGGGCCGGAAGAGGGGTGTTGGAGGGGGATTGTGGGGGGAGGTTATATAGGGGAGGTGGGGGAAGGGGGGGGGGAGGTGTTGTGAGGGGATGGGGATTGAAAGAGGGGGGGGGGGAAGGCGTATGGTGAGGGTGACAAAGGGAGAGATGTGGTCAGTACAAGAAAACTTCCATGTCAAGTGTAGCAACAAAACGCCATCTTCACATGGGGCAGAGCATCTAAGCAGGTCTCACGAGTGGTGGTGGTGGAGTTGACGATGGCACATGTGGAGCCGTTTCCCGCGTCAAGGGTGGAGTAGCCGGCATGGCAGAGGCACGTGAAGTTGGAGGGGGAGGCAGGTGCAGGTGGCACACACGCCCCATGGCCGTCACACGGGCCGTTGTCAGTGATGCTGCAGAACGCCTGGCAGGCTGCCGTGCTGCGCTGGGTGGCGTTGGACGAACACTCCCCATCCGGACTCAGCGTCAGGCAGTTCCCCAACAGACTCACCCTCGCCTCCTTGCCTGCCCCTGCCACCGAGAAATAGTGGCTACTGGTAGCTGCAAGGTTGTTGCACTTGCCGGCCAGCACATCAAACGTGTCCCCCATGTCCAGGTTGTTGGGGTCGGTGATCTCGGTGGGGCAGACCTGGCAGCCGGCAGCAAAGAGCACGGCATCCCCGAAGAAGAAGTTGTGAGCCAAGTTGATGAGCGCGTCGCCATCCGCCACCATGTTCCTGAAGTTGCGGTTGATGCGCCCGTACAGGCTGTTTCCGCTCAAATCGCTGGGGGGAGCACGGCGGCAAACAGTGGAGTTTGAGCGGATGAAGGTGGTCGTGTTACAGAGTCTACAGCAGTGAGCCCATGCGACAGTGCAAGCTGGTGCACGCATGGTACCAAGAACTCAGAAAGTAGCTGAGATGGCTCACATTTGGTTGACACACTTGTCAAAGAGGCAGTCTGGAAGTGGCCCGTAGAGGTAGTTATTGCTCATCATGCTGCCAGCAGCAGAACAAACACCATGCCAAACAATCAGTCACACCCACACAGTACGGCATACGCACAGAGATGAGGTACAATTTAATTTCCAATCCATAAGCATGAATGCAGTATGTATGCGAACCAGCTTTCTACTAGAAAGCGCTAGAACATCACTATTCGAACTTCTGCAGTCGAACCTCTCACTCACATGCGCCACAGCCACGGAAGCGAGCACAGGGTGGATGGCAGAGGGCCCTCGATGTTGTTGTTGTCCAGCCAGCTGCAGGGGCAGGCAGAACAGTGGCAGGCGGCAGGGAGGTACATAAGGTGGCATGAAAGTGTTTTTGTTCACAAACACTAGACTTGTGCTTTAAAGTTTTTCTGCTCTCATGGCCGTATACATATTAAGAGAAAGGCAGACAGCACCCTCACATCTGTTCGAGCTGCTCCAGTCTGCTGATGTCGGCTGGCAGAGTGCCGCTCAGCTGGTTGTTGGCCATGTAGCTGACGGGCAGCAGCCGGGAGACATTGCAATGAGAAGTGGCGTATGCAAGAGCGATCAGGGCTGATGCGGGGCCTCACAATGGGAAAGAGTTGGGGACGCTTGATGGGCACTTGAGGCTCTCACAGGTACTTGAGATTCGTCATGCTGAAGATGGCGGTTGGGATGCTTCCCGTGAGTTGGTTGTTGTTAAGGGTACTGTAGGGGCATGGCAAGGGAAGTGCATATTAAGCCGCTGCTGCCTGCTAGCACATGGAAACTGAGAGTGCATAGCCTAGCACTGCTAGCTTTCTCCCGCAAATCCAGGTTTGAAGATGGCAGTCTGACACAACAACCTTGGTTGGATGGAAATAGTTTAAAGGGTATGTGCTGAAGGGCAGACGCTCAAGGCATGTTGAAATCACAGAAGGCTCACATGGCTTTGAGGGAGGTGAGGGTGGAGATCGAATCGGGAATAGACCCCGTGAAGTTGTTGTGATTGAGGGCTCTGAGCCACAGCACATGCAAGGCAACAACAGACATGAGTTGGGTGGACTCAACTGCTGATTAATTTCCAATGGACGTGGGGTAAAGTAAATGCAAATGGACGTCACGAAGCTGAGTAATAGAATAGAAATCATGAGCATCGCATGGCGATGTATCCTCAACTAGATCCGTTTGGGTCGAATGGGGCATGACTCGTCCTCTCCAATGCTTTAGGGCGAGTCAACACTCGTTGACACGATTCAGTTGTCTCGTGTGAGACCACAGGTTCGTTGCGACAGGGTTCACATTTCGTCTTTCCAAGAGAGCGTGTCAGGTGGGGAAGGGGAAAAAGAGATTGTGAGAGGCTTACATCTGTATGCAGCTGACATTCCAGCGTGAGAAGTCTGGTAAGGAGCCCGTGAAGCCATTTCCTGCCAGGCTTCTGCACAGTGTGAGAGCAACAGATGGAGACTCAAGGGGCATCAAAGTCAAGCATGAACGAAAGAGGGAAGGCCCCCACACACAATGGGTGCCAGTTTACGTATTGGTGTCAGCACTCAGGCATTGGTGCCAGCACACGCATTGGTGCCAGCACAGGCATCGGTGCGAGCACAGGCATTGGTGCGAGCACAGGCATTGGTGCCAGCACACGCATTGGTGCCAGCACAGGCATTGGTGCCAGCACAGGCATTGGTGCCAGCACACGCATTGGTGCCAGCACAGGCATTGGTGCGAGCACAGGCATTGGTGCGAGCACAGGCATTGGTGCCAGCACAGTGGATGCACTGCTTACAGTGTGAGTAAGGAGGGGGGGGCGCTGAGGGTATGTGGAAGGCCTCCAGAAAGGAAGTTGTTGGCTACTTCCCTGTATTGGGAGAAAGGGGAAAAAGCGACTCTATTTAGCTGTTAGGGACGAAAGGAAACTGCCAACGAATATGCATGAATGGTGGTGTGGTGGTGGTGGGCCATCAACATACAGAATGCTTGGAGAGGGTTGATGCAGGAGGCGAGACCTGAAGCAAGTAGCAGGCAGGCAAGCAACCTCCTTTGTAGTATTTGGCATCCCACAGTGTACTATTCGATATAAGTTTGTAAATGCCTTTTCTACTTGTAAATGCAATCTTTTACTCAGGGGCAGAGGTGAAGTCCACAGCACAGTGCAATTTGGAAACAATGGATTTAATAAAGCGGTTGGATCGGTGTTTTAGAGCAGTTCAGCTACTTACAGTGAGTAAATCATGGATAGCTGAAACAGGCCCGATGGGATAGCTCCATGGAAATTGTTGTCATTAAGATTACTGGGCATTATGAATGAGTCAAGAGTCAAGACTGGATGTGCGCATCTTAAAAATCCACGCAGAAGGCTGCATCATATACAGTCTATCTAAAGGCTCCTCCACAGCAACCCCCAATGCCCTGCATGGCAATATTTCCACTCTGGTTCACATCCCTCCCTTTTTTGCAAGCTTGTGCAGCACCCACAACCGCTGAGCGCACGGGCTCATGCAGAGTAGTACCAGGCGGCGGCGCCACTCACATGCCCTGCAGATTGACAAGGTTGGTCAATTCGCCGGGGATGGTCCCAGTGAAGCTGTTGTTGCTCATGTCCCTGCCATTGCCGTTTCAATAACAATTGCCATATTATTTGTTTAATTACTACCTCAGGAGGGGGCTGGAAGCAACACGCATCACAACTCTATGGAAATGGCAGCATGTGTTCCACCCGTGCAACCCTCCCTTGTTTGAGGAATCAAAGCAACGGCCAACAAGTGGATGTCTTACAGGAATTGAAGGCTCTTGTGGTGCAGGATGGCACTGGAAAACGTTCCGGTGAAGTGGTTATCATTAATGAACCTGAAGCAGGCCAAAAATGCATGCGGTGAGGAGATGATGGAACGCATCCATGCAGAAATGCGCATGGGTTCGCAAAAACGGCAGCACATAGTGATGGTCGCTGGCACTTGCATTCATGCACACACATTCCTGCATTTATGAATGCGTCAAGTGTGCGTGCACGTGCACTAACAGAGGGAGGCCAGCATGTGAAGATGCATATACACACACCACATTTGATCATGCACCATGAGATGAAAAGCATTATAACTGAAATAGTCACGTGAAGTGATTATGAGGAGAGGCCCATAATCATTCAGGTGCCCTTAGCATAGGGGCAGTCACAACCCCAGCTGTTGCTGCATCCTATCCAGGTAGGTACAATGAAAGGCGTCACTGCACTGATGAGAATCAGGTGAGAAATTGATAGATTGGACTTACAGAGCTGAAAGTTCCTTGATTGCTGTCAAGGACGCTGGAAGCACACCCGAAAAGTTGTTGGTTCTGAGGAGTCTGCACAGCCAACCAGAAGTCAAGAAAGTGGCTCAGAACTTGCCGGCAAGCAAAGTGAAAGCAAGGAAACTGAGGAAACGAAAGGTGGGAGCACATAGGATTCTGAGGAGGCAAGGCAAGGAGGAAAACACACGCACATTTGTGAGAGCCCTGTCATCTGCGCCACCACATGAAGCCCTGAGCTGAGACTGTTACTGCCAACGTCCCTGTCAAATTGTGCAGAGTCACGCACATTGGAGACGACGAGCACAAGGCTGGGAATGCAGCAACCCTGGACAAACAAGGCACATTAGGATCGTTTGAGGCTATGCAATGCAAGCACTTGTTCATTTCCTTTGACAGAGATTAGTACAGTGGGGACAAGGAGGGTGAAAAGGGAGGAGCACAGTGTGGGGAGATACGTACAGAGTAGTCATGCCAGTGAGCCTCGTGAAGGTGTTGGAGATGCCTCCTGTGAACAGGTTGTCGGACAGTTTACTGCAGCCATGACAGCCAAAGAGGAAACATTGCGATTGCGGATGAGTGACAAAGGGGTCAGCACAGGAACCGAGAAAAGGAGTTCTGCCAAAAGTGGAGGTACCAGGGGAGGGGAAGAGGCCAACATGACTGGATGTACACATATCAGTGGGTAAATAAGTGGCAATAATGGTGGGCCTTACAGTTCAACAAGGCTGGGAATCGCCAGGTGTGGTGAGATGGGCCCACTGAAGGCATTGTGGTCGAGCAATCTGAATAGGCAGCAACAGGACAGGAGAGGGCGAGACTCATTTCAGCATTCCCTGCATCCGAAGGTCAGTTTCAAAGGAAGGAGTGATATCTGTGAAAGGAGGACGAGTGGAGGCAGAAGGAGGCAGAGCACAACTAAAGGACAGGAAGGTCCAACCAGGCCAAACAGCATGGTTCAGCATGGGTTGCAAGAAAGGAATTAGAGGACAGAAGCAGAATCATGACACGTAAAGAAACAAGAGGTTGGTGTCGAGGCTTGGCTTGCGAGGGTGGGGCAGGAGGCGGAGAAAAGAGTGACTTACAGTGTCTCGATGTTGGTGGTGAATGCAGACGGTATTGAACCAGAGAGTGAATTCCATGACAGGTCTCTGCAGTGGAGCAGGGAAGAACAAATTATGGTGCAGTTGTTGAGGTTGAGGAAGCGGCGATGGAAATAGGTGGATGGAAATAGGTGGGGACACAGTGAGGTTCAGACAAATGGAGGCGGGGAGGATACAGGAACGTTACATAGAAACGAGGGCTGTAAGTGCCGAGAATGTTGCCGGAATTGTTCCTTGGAGGCGGTTGGCACTTAATATCTAAAGGGAAACATGTGAGAAGAACGAATTAAAACAAGCTTGTTAATTCAAAGATGCAAGCAAGTGTTGGTGGGTTCGACAAGGTAGGGATCGGCAATGGGGTTGACATTGCTGGCAGCAGCATGGCAGGGGGGCAGCATGAAATCATGGTAGAAGTGCTGCAGGGCAGCATGGCAGGATGATGGTACGGCTAGCAGTCATGGCAGGAAGGACTCACAGCTCCTGCAGATTGATCAGAGTGGACCAACCCTTGGGCAGGTAGCCTTCCAGGTTGTTTCCATTGATAGATCTGCAGAGCACAGGAGCAGGTTGCAAATGGACGCCTACGTTGTCAGCTGATGGGGGACATGGCAACATCTAGCCAGGACTCACGTCGCAAGTGCATTGATTGGCTTACTGGAGAAGGAAATGCAGCAAGGATAGGGTTCAGACGGTACCTACGATTTTGACAGCTTGTGAGGTTACTCGCAGCCTTCTTACTGTCTATAATATTTCTCACAGGCCGGTGAGTGCGGTGAGCTCACAGGGTGGTGAGTGCGGTGAGCTCACAGGGTGGTGAGTGCGGTGAGCTCACAGGGTGGTGAGTGCGGTGAGCTCACAGGGTGGTGAGTGCGGTGAGCTCACAGGGTGGTGAGTGCGGTGAGCTCACAGGGTGGTGAGTGCGGTGAGCTCACAGGGTGGTGAGTGCGGTGAGCTCACAGGGTGGTGAGTGCGGTGAGCTCACAGGGTGGTGAGTGCGGTGAGCTCACAGGGTGGTGAGTGCGGTGAGCTCACAGGGTGGTGAGTGCGGTGAGCTCACAGGGTGGTGAGTGCGGTGAGCTCACAGGGTGGTGAGTGCGGTGAGCTCACAGGGTGGTGAGTGCGGTGAGCTCACAGGGTGGTGAGTGTGGTGAGCTCACAGGGTGGTGAGTGCGGTGAGCTCACAGGGTGGTGAGTGCGGTGAGCTCACAGGGTGGTGAGTGCGGTGAGCTCACAGGGTGGTGAGTGCGGTGAGCTCACAGGGTGGTGAGTGCGGTGAGCTCACAGGGTGGTGAGTGCGGTGAGCTCACAGGGTGGTGAGTGCGGTGAGCTCACAGGGTGGTGAGTGCGGTGAGCTCACAGGGTGGTGAGTGCGGTGAGCTCACAGGGTGGTGAGTGTGGTGAGCTCACAGGGTGGTGAGTGCGGTGAGCTCACAGGGTGGTGAGTGCGGTGAGCTCACAGGGTGGTGAGTGCGGTGAGCTCACAGGGTGGTGAGTGCGGTGAGCTCAGACATGTCATCCTTCAGCAGCCCCTGCCGCCGTGGATCGTCCGTATCCACGTTCCTGCACACATGGGATGGGAATGCTGGCGAGCCCCTCAGAAGCAGTAACGACAAGCCCAGTCACTGCGATGCCATGTGTGGTTGTGGTGGCTCATGGGGGATGCGGCGTGTGGCAGTGGCAAGGAAGGAGAGTAAAGCAGGAGGAGCTCACAGATACTGGAGGTTGGTGAGGTGAGTGACCCAATCAGGAAACTCCACGGCACGAAGGAAGGATACGTCCCTGCAGGGAGGAAGGCACGGACACGCCACGTAGACAAGCGCTTAGCAGACAGCAGCTGTCCTGTTGGGTGAGAGGATAAACAGGTTTCAATAGTGAACATGGACGAGCTTGCTCCGTTTGCCACTTCTTTGCGCTTGTGTGCAGCTTACAGTGCAGTGAGGGTTGTCAAGTATCGGATCTCTCTGGGAATCTCCCCTGTGGCGTTGGTGAGCGACAAGAGATTCCTGCGCTCATGCACACGCAATTAGTAAGGGTAAATCAATTGCAGATCGCAAGCTAGGACGGACCACGGCAACATGCAGATTAGGAGAAGTAACATGCAGATTAGGAGAAGTAACATGCAGATTAGGAGAAGTAACATGCAGATTAGGAGAAGTAACATGCAGATTAGGAGAAGTAACATGCAGATTAGGAGAAGTAACATGCAGATTAGGAGAAGTAACATGCAGATTAGGAGAAGTAACATGCAGATTAGGAGAAGTAACATGCAGATTAGGAGAAGTAACATGCAGATTAGGAGAAGTAACATGCAGATTAGGAGAAGTAACATGCAGATTAGGAGAAGTAACATGCAGATTAGGAGAAGTAACATGCAGATTAGGAGAAGTAACATGCAGATTAGGAGAAGTAACATGCAGATTAGGAGAAGTAACATGCAGATTAGGAGAAGTAACATGCAGATTAGGAGAAGTAACATGCAGATTAGGAGAAGTAACATGCAGATTAGGAGAAGTAACATGCAGATTAGGAGAAGTAACATGCAGATTAGGAGAAGTAACATGCAGATTAGGAGAAGTAACATGCAGATTAGGAGAAGTAACATGCAGATTAGGAGAAGTAACATGCAGATTAGGAGAAGTAACATGCAGATTAGGAGAAGTAACATGCAGATTAGGAGAAGTAACATGCAGATTAGGAGAAGTAACATGCAGATTAGGAGAAGTAACATGCAGATTAGGAGAAGTAACATGCAGATTAGGAGAAGTAACATGCAGATTAGGAGAAGTAACATGCAGATTAGGAGAAGTAACATGCAGATTAGGAGAAGTAACATGCAGATTAGGAGAAGTAACATGCAGATTAGGAGAAGTAACATGCAGATTAGGAGAAGTAACATGCAGATTAGGAGAAGTAACATGCCTGTGCACCACCAGATGCTTACAGCTTCTCAAGGCTTCCCAGGTGAGAAAGAATGTGCAGGGAGGAAAAGTCCCCAGTAAATGCAGCCAAGTACTCTAGACCCCTGGTGGTGGGGGAGGGGGGGGCAGTGAGGCGTGTAGAATATGAGCATGGGACTTTTGCTTGGGTTGCGGGGGCGATGTGGCATGCATGGCGTAAAGACAAAGTGGTATGCCAACCGCGTGTAGTGTTGGGTGACATAGGTTGCAGGGCGTACAGTGTTTTCAGGTTGGTGAGGGAGGAGAGCCACGCCAGTCCTTCCAGACTGCCAGCCAGTCTGCTGCCGTCCACTCCAATAGCTCTGAGTGCAAACGTGGCACGCAGTATAGCACAGCAGGGTGCACGTGGCACGTTAAGTGGGCAATGGGAACACACGCCAAAGCGGTACAAGAAATGAGAGTTAGAGTTATTCTTCGATCTGAACTTTGTATCTGCAATCTCTATATTATGATTTTGTCTAGTTGTAGTTTGTGGGTTGGGTGTAGGGTTCAGCGGATAAACGGGCTGGGCCCGGCCCGGGTCGGGCCGCCCCGGAAATGCCCCGGGGCGGGCCGGCCCGGCCCGGGGCCGTCGGCGGCGGCCCGCTTTTGGCCCGGCCATTTAGGGGTGGGCCGGGCCGGCCCAGTCTGATCCAGAAGGCTTCCTAACCATCACGCCATGGATGGCGTTAAAGCATGTGTTACTATATCGAATGCTACCCGGGCCGGGCCGGGCCCGGCCAGGGTCGGGCCTTGCACGGCCCGGTCGGGCCACCCTGGCCCGAGTACCCTAAATCCGAGCTCGGGCCAGGGTCTTGCTCATTCGGCCCGGGTCAGGCCGGGCCTAGCCACGGCCCGGCCTGGCCCGACCCGGCCCGGGCCCAGGCCGGCCCGTGCTCAACCCTAGTTGGATGTTACACCAACATCCCAACGTTACCCAAATGTGATCACCCGAAAACTCCAAATCCCCAAGTGGAGATTTCAGCATTTCGGATGTACCAATGACCCTTGAGCTCATTACATAATGCATCGAATTTGCCTCAAGTTATTACATTAGAAACAGCTGATATCATCTACAGGAATCAAGAGACATGAGCAAAACTTCATGTAGGGTTGATTGGTAACGAATGGTGTGAGACGGGACAGGAAACGACAAGCACATGGGTGAAGTGGAAGGGAAGGTCGAAATGAACAAAGTTGAGACGTGGCTTGGAACAAGGATCGAGCTTGAGAGAGCAGGATCAAGGGTGCAGGGGCGTGAAGGAGGGCGGTGGATGGGCACAAGGATGGGTCTAGTTCAGACCCAGCAGTGAACAACCCAGGTCTGGAACCATGCGAGAGCAGCACGTACAGGTGGGTGAGGCTGGTGAGAGTGGCGAGGGATGGAATGGACCCCACCAGATCAATGTAGGTCAGGTCGCTGTGGGGATGGGAGGGCAGGAAACAGCAGTGGAGAGATAGAATGGACCCTAGAGATGTATGGCCTGGTGAAAGTCACAGTTTCTAGTCCGGCTAGTGCACAAGGGAGGAATGGAAGGGCAGGGAGAAGGGGAGGGTTAGTTGTGCCTGAGAGGGACGAGATGGAAGGACGGAGCATGACGAGGTTGGGGCGGGGAACGGGCGTGGGAGAGGGTTGAAGGCAAAAGAGCAAGCAATCGATGGCTGCGAATGGCAAACGGAGGAAGGGCATGGTGCATGCAAGATGAATGCAGTGGAGGGGGAGGGTGGGTGGATGGTGACGGACAGGTATTGCAGAGTGGCGAGACTAGTGATGGAGGCAGGTATGGCGCCGCTGGGGGGAGGATCCGCGTCAGAGAATAGCTTTGCATCCCTGCCAAGCCAACACACGCATGCACGCACACATTACCAGTGCTCCCATCCCTCCCCCACCACATCCCACCATCTCCCACCACCTCCCACCCCCATCCCCAGTATCCAGTCCTCCCTCATCCCCATCACCCCACCTCCTCCAATTTCACCCCATCCCTCCCTCACACACTCAAAGTGCAACACATTCGGAAATAGTACGCGATGAGTGCTTTGAGGAACCAATGGAAGGGCGAAGCAGTGATGAAGGATGGCGACGAGAGCACGGGCGGAGGGGCAATAAGGAGCAATGAGGGGCCATCAGAGCAGCGATGAAGAAAACACGGGCAACAAGGGCAAAGAGGGCATTGGGGGGAGGCAAAGAGGGCATTGAGGGCAAAGAGGGCATTGAGGGCAAAGCGGGCATTGAGGGGCGGCAAAGAGGGCATTGAGGGGCGGCAAAGAGGGCATTGAGGGCAAAGCGGGCATTGAGGGGCGGCAAAGAGGGCATTGAGGGGCGGCAAAGAGGGCATTGAGGGGCGGCAAAGAGGGCATTGAGGGGCGGCAAAGAGGGCATTGACGGGGAGCAAAGACGGCATTGAGGGGCGGCAATGAGACGCACAGGGCAACGACGAGCCCCTTGGGGCTGCACGTGACGCCAGTCCATGCAGAGCACGCTGTGGTGGCGTTGCTGTTGCCCGCCCACATGCCCCACGCCTCCTTCAGCTGCACCAGCGCCTTCACTGCCACCGGCACAAGGAGGGAAAGGAGCCGATTCACGTTAAACGTGGCGCAATTCGTCCTGCTGCGTGAGGTCGCAATATGTTGCTGCCCTTGGACCTGTCTCATATGGTGCTGAGAACCTACAATGATTGTGGTACGGGAGGAGAGCACGGCTAAGGTCACGATTGGGTCACATCGGCCCTCTTCATAGGTTTCCAACCCAAACTTCGTCATTCACATGGATGGGGACAGAACGAGCCCAGCAACTTTAAGACTTTCACCTCTGTCTGCCCGTCAGAACTCGAGCTACTCCGGATGACGAGCTACTTGAGCTGCCCATCACACGCCTCTCTACCTCTCTGCTCATCTGGACGACGAGCTACTCGAGCTGCCCATCGCACGCCTCTCTACCTCTCTGCTCATCTGGATGACGAGCTACTCGAGCTGCCCATCGCACGCCTCTCTACCTCTCTGCTCATCTGGATGACGAGCTACTCGAGCTGCCCATCGCACGCCTCTCTACCTCTCTGCTCATCTGGATGACGAGCTACTCGAGCTGCCCATCGCACGCCTCTCTACCTCTCTGCTCATCTGGATGACGAGCTACTCGAGCAGCCCATCGCACGCCTCTCTACCTCTCTGCTCATCTGGATGACGAGCTACTCGAGCTGCCCATCGCACGCCTCTCTACCTCTCTGCTCATCTGGATGACGAGCTACTCGAGCTGCCCATCGCACGCCTCTCTACCTCTCTGCTCATCTGGATGACGAGCTACTCGAGCTGCCCATCGCACGCCTCTCTACCTCTCTGCTCATCTGGATGACGAGCTACTCGAGCTGCCCATCGCACGCCTCTCTACCTCTCTGCTCATCTGGATGACGAGCTACTCGAGCTGCCCATCGCACGCCTCTCTACCTCTCTGCTCATCTGGATGACGAGCTACTCGAGCTGCCCATCGCACGCCTCTCTACCTCTCTGCTCATCTGGATGACGAGCTACTCGAGCTGCCCATCGCACGCCTCTCTACCTCTCTGCTCATCTGGATGACGAGCTACTCGAGCTGCCCATCGCACGCCTCTCTACCTCTCTGCTCATCTGGATGACGAGCTACTCGAGCTGCCCATCGCACGCCTCTCTACCTCTCTGCTCATCTGGATGACGAGCTACTCGAGCTGCCCATCGCACGCCTCTCTACCTCTCTGCTCATCTGGATGACGAGCTACTCGAGCTGCCCATCGCACGCCTCTCTACCTCTCTGCTCATCTGGATGACGAGCTACTCGAGCTGCCCATCGCACGCCTCTCTACCTCTCTGCTCATCTGGATGACGAGCTACTCGAGCTGCCCATCGCACGCCTCTCTACCTCTCTGCTCATCTGGATGACGAGCTACTCGAGCTGCCCATCGCACGCCTCTCTACCTCTCTGCTCATCTGGATGACGAGCTACTCGAGCTGCCCATCGCACGCCTCTCTACCTCTCTGCTCATCTGGATGACGAGCTACTCGAGCAGCCCATCGCACGCCTCTCTACCTCTCTGCTCATCTGGATGACGAGCTACTCGAGCTGCCCATCGCACGCCTCTCTACCTCTCTGCTCATCTGGATGACGAGCTACTCGAGCTGCCCATCGCACGCCTCTCTACCTCTCTGCTCATCTGGATGACGAGCTACTCGAGCTGCCCATCGCACGCCTCTCTACCTCTCTGCTCATCTGGATGACGAGCTACTCGAGCTGCCCATCGCACGCCTCTCTACCTCTCTGCTCATCTGGATGACGAGCTACTCGAGCTGCCCATCGCACGCCTCTCTACCTCTCTGCTCATCTGGATGACGAGCTACTCGAGCTGCCCATCGCACGCCTCTCTACCTCTCTGCTCATCTGGATGACGAGCTACTCGAGCTGCCCATCGCACGCCTCTCTACCTCTCTGCTCATCTGGATGACGAGCTACTCGAGCTGCCCATCGCACGCCTCTCTACCTCTCTGCTCATCTGGATGACGAGCTACTCGAGCTGCCCATCGCACGCCTCTCTACCTCTCTGCTCATCTGGATGTAACGAGCTACTCACATTGCGAGTCTTCCAGAACGACGGGCCCCGTAGCGCTCGTGGCAGTCTCCTTGGAGCTGGCATGGTCGGCGGCGGAGTCGAGCTTTAAAACCGAGCGTTGAGCCGGTCGAGACAGCCGGCGCTGTTTGGGCAGACGCGGGCCATCTCGGCGCGGCAGTGGGCGAGTGGGCGTCGCACTTGCAAGGGAGCAAGCAGCGGCGCCGGCGGCAGTGAGCGCGAGGGCCGCGAGGAGGAGAAGGCGAGCTGAAGCGACTCCATCTGCAGAGCGGCGAGGCCACGCGGCAGGCCCAGGGCAACGAACTTCAGCAGTGGTATAATTATGCATGCTTCAGAATCGTATGTGTGAGGAGAAAGGTCCTGATTTTTTGTAAAAGATCGCCAGGTAGTACCACATTTCCAAAATGTGGTGATGGCATGGGGAAACTCCGGTTGCGCGAATTTCGCAGCAGTCAGTGGTGGTGGTAGCGCCGCCGTGAATCTGAGGGAAGGAGGAGAGGGAAGGAGGGGAGTGAGGTGTGAGGTACATGCCGGGGGAAAGCAATGTCATGGACTCTCTCAAAGTCGGGTTAGGTCAGAGCTCGGACAAGGAGGCGGAGAAATGAGCTGTGAGGAGAGGGGCATGATGGCACTGTACATGTACTGGGAAGGGAACCTGTTTGAGTTCGAAGCTGACTGGGAGAGAGGGCTAGTACACCCTAGAACTCGATAATCTCACCGCAAAAAGGTCAGAGCGTCTGAAATGTTGCTCCTGGGGATGTGATATTACTGGGACAAAGAAATCCCTTATTGCTTCACTTGGGACCAGGATGGTGGAGCCGAAGATGCAATGACGTTATTTTTTTATATTTGAAGGTCTAAAAAATGAAACCTTTAATAATCAAAGATTGTGATAAAGAAAAACGCTCACGAAAGTTGAAATGTGATTTGCGAAAACTTGAGAAACCCACATTCACATTTTGGGATTTGGGCCACGTGTTGCAAGAATTTCGACGGAAGTAAACACCCTTCACATCTATTAGACCATGCGGTTTTTGTTCACCCCCACCCCTCAGTGCCAAGCACTTGACCTTATCATAGTGACTTTTCGGACGGTGGGAGCCTTCTCGAAATTGACTTCATAAGATTAGGGTGCACATTCAAACCATTTTGTCTGTGGGCGAGGTCTGGATCTTGGTTCAAAAAAAAAAATGTACCGCTCGAAATAAAAACATACACTCACACAGACACGCACATATGCGCACAGACACACATATAAGCGTACACACATACAAATATACACACACACAGACATATGCACGTATACACACGCACAAACATACACAGATATAGAAAAAAATGCACTAATAAACCAGGTGGGAAGTAGTTAGCTTTTGCGTATCCAGACTCACTTAAGCGACTCTTGTTAGGTTCTTGAAAGTTCATGGCATCAATGGACGAAGGACGACTGAAAAGCAGAAAATTCCAGGGATATTGCTAGAGCCGATACTTGAAATGGCACATTTTCTTAAATTTTGAAAGAAAAAAGTGGAAATATAAAGCTCTCTCATCCATTATAAAGCTGGCATTCTATTTTTAGGGGGGGGGGGGGGGGGGAAGGAAGGGGGGGAGAGGGTCGGTGCTATAATACATCTTGCCAACCCAACAACTAAACTGTTAAGTGGAAAGCGTTCACTGGAATAACTGGTCATAATATTTGTTACGTATAATAGGTCAAAAATGTTAGAACCTTATTGTAGGCTGTAGTGGGGTTGACAATATGGGGTGCAACTCTTTTAGGTTTTCATATTTGTACCCACCTGCTTCCTAGTCATTTTATTCCTCGCTATTCTTCTCACATGGTATCAGAGCGGGTTCCCTAGAGGGACCGTTTTTCTTTTAGGGCCCACCACTTCAAACTTTTTTTTCTGCCCTGCCCGAAGCGCGCATCGCGCTCTAACCTACTGCCACCGTAGCGGCCCTGCCCTTTAGGCCTGTCGCAGCCCCTTAGCGGCCCGCCCTGCCGTCGCGGCCCTTAGCGGCCCCGCCCAGTCGCCCTTCACGGCCCGTCGCCGCCCTGCCGCGAACCGCCTTGCCGCCCTTAAGCGGCCCGCCCTGCCGACCTCAGAGGCGCGTCGCCGCCCTTAGCGGCCCTTCGCGGCCTGCCCTGCCGTCTGCGCGGCCCTCCGCGGCCCGCCCGCCCCGTCGTCGCGGCCCTGCGCGGCCCGCTCGCCCGTCGTCGCGGGCCTCCACGGCCCTGCCGCCCATTCGTCGCGGCCCCGCCCTGCCGCCCTTCGTCGCGGCCCCTGACCTGACGTCTCACGTCGCGGCCCCTGCCCTGCAGCTGCTGTCGCGGCCCCCTGCCCTGCAGCAGCCGCCGAGGCCCCGTGGCCTACAGCAGCCGTCGCCCCTGCTGCCGCAGTTGCTGCCCTGCTGCCGCCGTCGAGCCTGCAGCCGCCGGTGCGACCGCCGCCGTCGTCGCCGCTGAGGCCCTGCTGTCGCGGCCCTGCCCCGTCGCCTCGTCGCGGCCCCTCCTTGTAGCGGCCCCTGCTCTGCCGGCGCGCCCCGGCCCTGCCCCACCAGTAGCGGCCCTCCACTCCCGCCACTGGTAAGCGCACCGCCGCACCCGCGCACTGCCGCACCCGTGCACCGCCGCACCCGCGCCGCCCTGCCGAGCCACGCCGTCCTACCGAGCCGGGCCGCCCTACCGAGTCGCGCTACTACTGCTGCTGCTACTGCTACTGCTGTCATGGCTACCCTAACGTCCTTACCTTCGATGCTGAGGGTCGGGCAGTTGATTTTGACGTCTGGGTCGATGATCAGTAGCTGCTTCTGCAGTGTGATTCTAGGGACGGAGTCTCACTGTTCGATCTCACGTCAGGCGTCTCTGTTGCACCTGCTGCCGATGCGGACAGTACTGTTCGCTCGCAGTGGACAACGCGCGATGCTGCTGCCCGTCTTGCTGTGCGTAGTCACCTGCCGTCTACGGAGCGCGCGCACTTTAGTCAGTACAAGACCGCTAAGACTCTGTACGACGTTGTTGTTGCGCGCTACTCCTCCCCTGCCACTGCTGCCCTTAGC